CCTCTGAGTGAGCTCTCTACGAGAGTGAGCGAATACTGTCTGGCAACTCATTGCAGTTTGAAATAATAATAATAATAATGCTCTTAACTACTGTAAGGGTGGCACGGTGGTGAGCGCACTGCACTATGAATCTGGCAACATGAGTTCGATTCCTCTATACGACTAAATGCGATATAAATACGTTTGGAATATTAGTTACGATTAAGCGTATTACGTGTAAAAAATATATCAATCAAATACAGTAGATTTATTTGATGGTGAGAAAAAAGAACACGTTGATTTTCTCCGGACTTTCCATTTGCCTGCCACACGAAGACCACTCCGTAGAGAACTCGCCAGACATCCAAGGGTAGGACCCTCTTGAAAGTGATCCTGGGGACTCGGTGAGGCTTTCCTGCATAAATAAACGGAACCATTGTATGATACATTTTTCTTCTTCTGATAAGGAACAACGGAGGGCTCCCTGTGCGCAGGTGCCGGATTGTTGCACCTCGGGATCGTGAGGGATGCATAACGGCCTCTCATCAGGCGGTGGACAAGCGCGCTGCACCGCGTGTAGTGTGGAGGGTGATCGTTTCATTCGGGTTGGGGGTCAGAGCCAAGCTGAGAAACGCTTTGAGAGTGAGGCTGTGTAAGTCGGCAGCAAAGTCTTGAATTACAAACTGGAAAGGGCCAATGAACAAACAAAAACCCCCACTAATAAAAAAAATCATTCCACAGGTTGCGCTCCTATACACAGCCCAGAGAGTGACTACAATGGCAGGGTTTGTTATAAATACTTCCTGCTTTGTTTCTCTCAGTGGAAGGCTGCAAGGCGTGGGGGGGGGGGGAGGTGAATTTAAAATGAGCCGTGAGACTGGCTGGGCTCCTGAGGCAATGAATATGAAAACTAAAAAGTATAAAACTATTTATTTTTTACCAGGGAAGGTCCACTGAGATGTATAGCTCTTTTTTCAAAAGTGACCTGGCCACAAAAAAATGGCTCTACGAAGTGGCATATTGTCACGTGGAAATTTATAGCAGTCAAATAACTTCAAATGCGCGTTTCGACATGAGGAGGGAAAAACCGGAGGACCCGGAGAAAAAAATTAATGCGACCACGGGGAGAGACACGCAAACTCCAAATATACAGGTGTCCGGGTCAGGGTCGAACCCACGACCTTGTGTGTACCAGGGAAGGTAGTTAACATCTCACCATCGTGACGTGAGACTATCTGGGCTCCCAAGGCAAGGAAAATCAAATGAGAATGGCTACGGAGATGAAACCGGTGCAGGGCAGACGGGGTCGAGGGAGACTGGGTTCTTTTCTTTAGATGTAGTGTTATTATTAATTTTGTATTATTATTATTATGCTTGTTTACCCAGAAAAGCCTCGCTCAAGATAATTTTTCAGGAGGGTCCTGCCAAGTTTTTCGCAGTATGGGGCGGCGATGTGTGATCCCAATTCAGTAATTTGAAGGCAATTTTTCAACACTGAGATATTTTAGCCAGTGCCAGTCTTTGCTATTGGAGGAAACCCGCGATGAACAGGGGGAGAAACACACAAACTCCACACATAAAAGGTGCCTGAGTTGGGCCATGCTTGATGTGAGACACGAGCGTTACCACTCTGCCACCGTCAGCCGGTGATGTTTGCACACTTATTTGACGAGCGTATAAACACTCATTCGTGGAGTTGGCCCAAACATCCCGGGATAGGGCCACGGAGGTCGGGCAATTTGTTGGCGGCCGGTTCTGGCTGCCTTCCAACTCACCTGGGGCTGTCTGTGGCTCTGAATAATTATCTTTCTCAGAGAGTGAACAAAGACTGTGCGTGTTACAAGTCTGTGTGTTTGTAAAAATATATATATCTCTTTGATTTGATCCAGGAAAGCCTCCTCCGAGTCACATTTCTTAGGAGACTCCGGCTTTGGATGTGTGCCCAATACCTTGGCGCGTACTTTTGATTCGTCATATAACGATGCATCGGTTAATCGATTGAAATTGATGCTTACTTGCGATTCCTGCATCGATTTCTGTGTCTATGTGATTTTATTGTTCATATTTTATGGATGATACGTGCAAATGAGAGGCCAATGTTACATTTTTGGCTAAAGGCGGGAGCGACGATACAAAACGCCGTGGCCAAACTGTCCCCCGTGTGCGAGCGTTTAACGCGCCAATTGTTATTGGTTTAGCTCAACGGTGAGCCTAAAGAGCAATTTCTCACAACCAAATGTAGCAATTAGGTACGCGACGTTTCACTCGATGCTTTCCAAAAATATTCATAATTTTTATCGCAATATTGGCCGTGAAATCCCACGTGTTAAGTCGATGCAAAATGAGATGGGGTGGGGGGGGGACGAAGTGGACAAAGTTAAAATCACGACTTCAGATCGTGACAATTCATCGCAGTTCTGAGCAGGTAAATTGTTATATGCCTAATAAATGGAATGTCGGAGAAAAGCAGTGCCAGGAGAAACCCCACTTACACAAGGAGGGGGAGGGGGTGGGGTGCATAGTATTTAAAAGGTTACCTTGACTGAGTATTCCTCTCTAATAAATTCCTCCCCAGGGGGAGGTGACCTCTAGGGAGAGGCAGTAGTGGGGGTCGAGGCAGCTGAGCTTGTGAAGAAATGAAATACTTAATTAGGAAATGGGTTACAAAAAAAACCCTGGATCTCTTTTCTGGGTCAGCTGCCTGTTTTGGAGGGGAAGGGGGGAGGTCACGTTACCGGCCTTTTGTGTCAAGGTAACCAGCATGTGAAACGGTCGGGGTGAGGCCCAACTTCACCGAGGGATTCTTCTTCTTTGGTTCTTTCGGTAAAGTCACGTAGAATGAGAATAAAATAATAAATTGATAAAATAAAATAACGCAATTAAATTCTCACGACGTTTCGGCCACAACACAAGCGGCCTTCATCAGGTGAAGGGACGAGACTGTCTGGAGGACAGCGCTGGAGCGAACACAGCCAAGCTCAGACCGCGACCTTTAAGCTGTGTGAGAAGAAACAGAGCGCCTTGATAAAGGAATTAGCATATAATTTAGCATTGAAATAGCTGAGTGATTTGCTTGTGACTGGTCACAGAAATGGCTATGTTAGATTCTTTTTTTGCGTTATTTTCTTCCCTGGAAAACAGAAGGCTCTCACACGCAGCGAAACTATTTCACCTCGAGGGCTCCGCTGTTGAACGGATATTTTTTCGATGACTTGCAGTTTCTTTCTGAACCTGCGCTTGAAAAGGGAGCTGGGAATGGAAGGGTGGGTGGGGGGGGGGTAACTTTCTGGTGGGATTTCCACGTCAAGGATCTTTTACAGTTACGGACCGGCTTCGACTCTCGCGGTGTTTAGTTTAATTCGGCGTGGGCACAAAGAGCTAACTGAATTGAACGAAATGAAACCTCGAGTGCGCACGGGGACCAAGAAAAATCGATTTGCAACGACGCACACAACGGTGGCTGATGTTTTGCCGAGAAACAAAGTGCCCCATTTGGACCTGAGATCGAGACGTTCTAGGCGGAGCCACGAAGCCGAATCCCGTAGGAACGGATAGATGTTGAGGGCATCGCAAATTAAAACGAGCCTTGCGATTATTTGGATCAACAAAGCCCTCTGGAGCTGTGTGCCTTCGTAATGGGAGGTGGCATGTGTGTGCGGTTCTCTTTTTAACCAACCCAGCCACTTTGCCCGCCATCCTGCCCTGAAAACCCCACACCCACCCAACTTTCCTACTTCTCGCCCCCCCCCACCCCAACTCTTTTCATTTCATGAAACGGTGGCCATAGACACCGATCCTCCCAAGCACACAGCGTCCATTCATTGGGATCTACGGATTAAATGTACCTTACAAACGTCAATTATTATTATTGTTATCCTGGCGTTTTCTCCGTAGACGAGAGAGCCACCGAGGTTTGGGTGACAGCCTCCTCCTCAACTTGTCTACAGGAGGGAAGCCATCTAAATGCATGATGACGATTGCTTGTGTTGCGATCGAAACGTCGTGATATTGCTATTATTTTATATTTTATTTTCTATATACGTGGCTTTACCGAAAGACCCAAAGAATAGGTGAAAATATTATTAAAATATTTAGGAGAGCATAAACATTTTGTTGGGGTTGAGCGATAAAAATAAAATGTCAAACGATTGAATTAAATTTGTGCTGTAGCCATCATCTAAAGCGACAAATTAATTTCCATGTGATGCAAAGCATCAGCCTGTGTTAGACAACGGGCTCCTAAAGATGACATCACAGAACTACTTTTTAGGTCCCTTCAATTTCCCCTACACCAGGTGGTACACATTTACACACGCATATTTATCACATAGCAAAATCAAACTCAACATTTTTTCTCCCGCAGAGGAGAAATTTTATGAATTGAGTAAAACAACTATCTTAAAACGATGGGTTTTTCTTGTGTGTGTAGGCATTGGTGGTCGGGTTGAGGACATCATCAATTGGCTACACTTGGGAATCCAATTTAATCGATGGGTGGATGACATCCGGACTTTAACCTGGGCTCTCAGATGTGCTGGTTCGGTGTCCTGACAGGAATAACTAAAATATGAATTAAGAGTTCATTTTTTAAATGTTATTTTACAATACGGAAAATCACACGAAAAAAACACAAAAGACCCGCAACACCAAAATAAGACTAAAGGCTGTAGACTACAGAGTCGTGTGGGGTGCTGCGTAGTAATGCCACCCCTCCAGTCTCACGCCAGCAGTAGGCACATCTCACTTCATCTGTGGCTATACCTTCTTCTCCTTCTTCGTATGGCCGATGTTCAAGTAGAGCCGTGTTCTTCATTGCAAGGCCCACGGGCCACCGGTGGGCCCTGGTGGCCTTCAGTGTGGCCCCTGACGTGCGGCCCCCCCGACAATACACAACACGTGACAACACCCCTAGCAGGCGGTGTGGCGGCCCTCACGCTGATGTGAGGAACACTGAAGTAGCGAGCGATAACTGTAACGACACAAGGTGTTTGGTTTGGGGTTCGTGTGGGGGTTCGCCTTACCTCCGGTCCACGCAGTCCCACTGGTCCCAGCTCCCCAGGGGGTCCCGATTCACCCTGGAAGAGAGAACGTCCCACACTCGTGTGAGAACAATCACCTGCGCAGACACACACACACATTAACACGGAAGAGGCTTTCACGACCAATATTATCCATAAATTAGGTTTTTGGGTTAGATGGCGTCAACATAAATTTGTCGTTGAACCTGCCACCACCCGGCACGTTCTCCAACACACCGGTGTGCTGAACTGGTTTCGAAGTTCAACACACCGGTGTGCTGAACTGGTTTCGAATTGGCACGTTTTGTTTTCGTGAACTACCTCACTATGTGGATGTGTCGGGTGGTGGCGGGTTTAACGACACATTTGTATTTACGCGATCTAACCCAAAAACCTCTATTATGCACACACACATATACATTTACTCATTCTTTTCGTAATTAATAATAATGATTGAGTACATTTGGTATTCGCGCCATTCTTATAGCGTAAAGCTATCGCAAACCCGAAGATAAAAATTTGATATAAAAAAAATTCCTGCTATTCTAAAATCCCCAAATGAATGAATGTCAGTTATGGGGAGGTGTTTTAACCATACTTCACCATGCTGGTCGGTGCAACTTGGTGATGAAAAAAAACCAATTCGACACTATCACCTCGCTGCACTTGAGATCCCAGTTTCATCACAGGCGGCTGAAACCTGGAGTCGAACTCAGGTTCCTCAACGGTGTCGGACTCAGCACTCCCCGACCTTTGAACCATATGGCCACGCCCATATTATTTATTTATTTATCCATTACAGCCTGCGTGCTTTTCCACAGTCCCAGGGCTGAGTGAAATATGAATGAAATTTGAGCGAAATGCAATTTGTTTGTGAGCAATGCTTTAATCCGCACGTGAAATATCTTGGCATTCGAATGTGGCCGAGTTTTTTTTGTTTGCGGAGTTTTGTTTTTTTCTTTCTCAAAAGTATTTTAATAACAAAACGATATATCAGGTGCACGACACAGAGGACATGCAAGGAGATTGACACCAGCACAACAAACGTTACGAATTACGGTACAGGGGAAACCTGCCTTAAACCGCATGTTTAAATAAACCGTTTAAATACATCCTACAACCCTGGCTCTGACACCCCTGTAGAAGAACAAAAAAAGGAAGGGAGGGCGGGAGGCAGTGCCTAAATGCCCTAATGAATGCTCTTAAGAATCAATGCTCACTGGAGGAGAGATAGTGAATGGGCTCCACGTTTGGTGGTGAGCTTCCTCCCTGCCCCTTAGGTTTGCAGTGAAATGCTCTAGAGCGGTTTTGTTTTGTTATTATATGGAAAATGGTAACAAAACAAAAAGTTTTTTTTTTAATCTGCCCATTACTCCTCTAGTTTTACTGCAGGTGCAGTAAGGTCCATGCGGTCGGGGTCCCTGTGGCTTGTTATGGTTCTCGTTAACATAATGTATTTTTTTGTTTTTGCACCGAACACAAAAAAACGTGAAAAATGCATGCGCTGATTGGGCAAATTTGTTGTGATTGATGGTCACACGAGTGGAATGTAACATCGTTGCCTTAACAGTCACCTGTTAATGTTAAAATTACACCGTGTTTATTTTGGTCACCAAGCCGGGCAACCCGAGTCTTTGTCTCCCTCTGTGTGTGTGTGGTGTCTCTCTCTCTCTCTCCTCTGTTTTCTTCTATATGTAACTCCCCAGGTCCGCCTTCATGTCTCTTTTTCTTTAGTGTCACTCTCGTGTGTCTCCATGTATCCCTCTCCATCGATCTCTCATTGTGCCTCCTTTCTCATATCTTCGTGTCCCTGGCCCTCTGTATGTCTAGCTGTCTGACACTGTCGTCATCTCTTGTTGTCTTTATATATTTCCCTGTTTATTCTTCGTTTCTAATTGTCTCTTTCTTTCAGGGGTGGGGAACCTTTTTTCTGCCAAGGGCCATATGGAAATTTATAACATCATTCGCGGGCCATACAAAATGATCAACTTAAAAATTAGCCCGTTATATTTGGTCGAACATTTAATTAACTCACCCCTAATGAGATGGCTGGAGCTGCTTCTCTTTGGCGAGGCGTGTGATGTTAGCTGGTATTGATGATGTTGCTACTCGCAACTGCTTTTCCAGGTTTACCCCTAGATTTATTGAATTTCGAGTCCCGCCTGCGATTGCCTTGGCAGGGCCACACCAAATGATTCCCCACCCCTGGTTTATATGGTCCAGTGGCGTAGCTATGGAGAGTGGAGGCAGTTCAACTGCACTGGGGCCTATGGGCCAGAGGGGCCCAGGCTCCTGGCTACAAAGAGATCGGGGGAGGAATGGGACAGTTCCCCACCCCCACCACCCCATTGCATTTCTTGCACCAAGGCTCTTGCCATACTACGCCACTGCGAGGGACCCTCTGCAGAAGCCCTCCGACTAGCTCAGTCGGCCACGTACGGTGCAAAAGAAGTTCAACATACATTCACCTAGTGTTGAGATGTCTCTGCAAGGTGCTCTTACCTTCTTGCCAGGAAGACCCGGCATCCCGACTTGCCCGGGGAGCCCTCTGTCCCCCTGGGTGGATGGGAAAGACACAACAGGGTCTGATACAACGCAGTGTGGATTCGTACAGCAGCCTGTGTCCACAAGGGTCTCCTTTTGTGCCGCCTAACGGTGACACAAGCCTGCAAACACGGTCCATTCTGTGCGTTGAAAACAGCAGGGGCTAGAATAACGAATCGGCGAAATTATTAGCACACCTATCCTTGGCCGTAATTAAAATGTCCCCCCCCCCCAATATATTGCTATAAAATAGATTTCTGTTCATATGATTGTGGTTATGGTTGTACTTTATTAATCCCTAATCTCTGCCATTACATACAATGAAACAAGAAAAGGTAAAAAAATAAAAAAACAGAGCAATGTAATACAATACACTATTAGACATTTTAAAAAATAAATAAAAAGTCCATCCTATGTGTTAGTGAATTTTTTAATATTTTAGGTAGGAAATGGCAGCAAATTCGTTTTCAAATTTAGATTTTTTTTCTAGGGGGGGACCTCCAGATCCCCTGGAAGATTTGGTCCCCCCCAATGTTGACTCCATGGCTACGGCCTTGCACCTAACTAACCACAACTGATCTCTACTACTATCCCTCCAACTGACTTCAAATCTAACCATCATCTCCACCTCTGGACAAGTTTCCAAGCAACTTTTTCATCTTTAGTTTGCTTCTCAGTTTGGAGGAGGCTAACAGTACCTCTACGGTATGCACTGAATGTTAACATCACTGTCACATATCGCAATTGCTGAGCACAGATCCCAATGGCGGCCGTTGTCAACAAACAGCGCTGTTATAGGTGGGAGTCCATGCGGTTTCTTGAATTTCCGTACCTTGTCTCCCACCTCTCCTTTCAGGCCTGGCTGCCCAGGTGACCCCTGAACGAAGAATCGTGAAGAAAAGCAGCGACGCATTATTCAACAACAAACACAACAATAAAATAAATGTATTATTTCGCGTGACATTTTGCAGAGACAAGTAACTGATGTTTTTTGGAACAGCAAACTTATGTGAGAAATTGATGTATAGCTTATTTGGCCATTCAAGCTCAGAGCGCAGAGACTGAAACTAAAACACATTTGGGATTCGTAGAGTTCATTGTTCCTGACTGATGCTCCGAGAGCCAGACTTAAGGCACATTTATGCATCTTAGAGACCCGTATGAATGCCTGAGGCTTATAAAGGCTGGCTAAGGCATATTTAGGATTAGTTTTGGTGATTGTTAATGCTCGAGACTTAGACAAGCAGACTGAGGCACCTTTAAGAGTTGTATCGTTCTAATGGTGCATGGGTGAGGCTCGTAGAGCCAGACTAAGGCACATTTATTAATCTTAAGGTTCAGTGTTAATGCCCAAGACTCACAGAGAGGAGTGTTTGAAAAGCAGCAGCGCTGCGGGAAACTTTACCTGGTCGCATTATGTTAAACTATTTTTTTATTTTACCAGGTAAGGCCGACTGAGCTATATAGGTCTTTTTCAGAAGCGATCTGGCCACAAATGATAGCGCAATGAAGTGGTTTATCACGTGGAAATTTATAGCAGCCAAATACTCTAAGCGCATGTTGATTATAAATGTGGAGGGGAAAACCGGAGTACCCGGAGAAAAATGCAAATATACAGGCATCAGGGTCGGGATCGAACCCACAACCTCCTTCATACCAGGCGAGGGAGTTAACATCTCACCACCACATACACAATTGTGATTTGTGTATGCTGTACTCTGCTTCTCTGGTGCATGTGTGTGTATGCGTGGTACATGTGTGTATGCGTGGTGCATGTGTGTGTGCGTGGTGCATGTGTGTGTGTGCGTGGTGCATGCATGTGTGTGCGTGGTGCATGTGTGTGTGTGCGTGGTGCATGTGTGTGTGTGTGTGGTGCATGTGTGTGTGTGTGTGCGTGATGCATGTGTGTGTGTGCGTGATGCGTGTGTGAACAGAACTCACGGGCAGGCCCTGTGGCCCTGCATCTCCTGGGATTCCCGGCTTTCCGGGCTCTCCCTGAGCAGCAAGCACAGAGATGGTGTCACCACACGCACGCAGACTACATCCGCACCGCTATGGCTGTGATGATGATGACGATGGTGACGATAACGATAAACTGGGCATGGCGTGACCGCAAAAAAAACTACCACCCGCGCAATTGTAATATACATGGGGGTTGTGGAACGGGTAAACGAAAGTGGCTTTGAATGCTGTAGTGGTAATCGTAATGATCGCGATTAGAATGTTCTTGGTACGTTAGGAGGTGACGTGCTGGTGATGTTTGCAAGAGCGTGATTTCCAGTGAGATCATTTTACCTTCATCCCGGGCATGCCAGGGGTTCCATCTCGGCCGTCAATCCCAGGGACACCCTGGAGGGGGAGGGGGGGAGGTTATGAAAGAAACGCCGATGAGATTGTGAATGCGTCACGTGAGCTACCGATGGGCCCGAACGAGCAACGGGCATTCGACAGCAGCACCCCGTCCTGCTGTCGAATGCCACCGTGACTTTCCAGAAGAGATTCTAGATTTGAAGTTTTCGTGACTGAAAGGATTAATACTTTTTGTTTTTTTTCGGTAAAGTCACGTAGGTAAAAAAATTAAAATGAATTAAATCACGACATTTCGGGCGCAACACACGCTTCCTTCTTAAGCGTGTGACACACTTAACCGGTGTGACACACTTAAGCGGTGTGACACACTTAAGCGGTGTGACACACTTAAGCGGTGTGACAAACTTAAGCAGTGTGACACACTTAAGCGGTGTGACACACTTAAGCGGTGTGACACACTTAAGCGGTGTGACACACTTAAGCGGTGTGACAAACTTAAGCGGTGTGACACACTTAAGCGGTGTGACACACTTAAGCGGTGTGACACACTTAAGCGGTGTGACACACTTAAGCGGTGTGACACACTTAAGCGGTGTGACACACTTAAGCGGTGTGACACACTTAAGCGGTGTGAGACACTTAAGCGGTGTGACACACTTAAGCGGTGTGACACACTTAAGCGGTGTGACACACTTAAGCGATGTGCTTTTGCTAAGCTGTCCCCACCTGAAGAAGGACGCTTGTGTTGCGCCCGAAACGTCGTGATTTAATTTATTTAAATTTTTTACCTAAGTGACTTTACTGAAAAAACCAAAGAGTTTCGAGAAGAGAATTCAATAAGAATAAACATTTTGCTTAAAGGTGTGTTATTAAATAGGGGTTTGATCTACACATATTTAATGCCCACATTGTTTTTCTTTGAGAGCAGGCCTTGCCAGGAATGAATTTGAGCCAGGTCTGTCCAGGTCGCTAACCCAGAAAATATTTCCTCACCCGGACCACCAACATCCAGTATACCTCCCACAGTGGCCGTGGCGACTATTCACGCGCCTTCTACCCGTGATCGATCCCATCTACCAGTGGCCTGGGGGCGGGGAAACACGTATTCGGTGAGAAGCCAAGCCCCTGGGCCTTGCCTATGGTGACACAATCTGGAACAATGTGCCAGCACTGGCGCCGAGGATGAGAGGTGGTGATGCTCACCGCCTCGCCCTTCGAGCCGGGGATCCCGGTTTTTCCTCGCGATCCAGCCAAGCCCTGCCACACAGCGCGAGAAACGAGACAGGCCATGAGCACACGCGTTCCATGCTCCCACGTTTTGCGCATCCAGTGAGCGTCTGTCGTGGCCCGGCTCACTCCACCCGCTTGGTGGAGGAGAGGCGAGGGCGTGCGTGAGAGGAACAGAACATTGTACTTGAACAAAAGAGTCTACGTTAAAAGGTACACTTCTAACACATTGCTATGGGTTGAATAAATCGAAACGAAGATGGTTGGTGCCACCACACCCCGCCAGCGCCCTCCACCCCCTGTCAGATCACACAGCTGCTGTGCAGCCTCGAGACGTGACCTCTCAAGATCTGCCCTGACAGTATCTCGTCCGTCATCCGTGGCCAGTCATCCCCTTGGTCGCTGGACTCGTGGAGACCACTCCAATGCGTGTTTCAATAGCCAGCCTTCCTCCATCCTCTACACACAAACCACCCAGCGCTACCTGTTTTATATCTACATTTGATTACTGTGATACACCATCTTCCGCCTAGGCTATGAATCTGCCAGAAAACGTCTCGTTCCTTTGAACCACTCCACCCTTAGAACTCACTACCCTTAGAACTCATCATTACACTAACTCAAATCTGTTTCCCCTGGATATTCCGGAGACACCACCACTGGACTGTCTTCATCCTTAAGGCCCTCTTAAACAAGTCCGCCAATCACCTCATGGCCCATTTGGTTCCTCAAATTCCCACCTGTAGCCTCAAAGGTGCCCTCTTTTTATGACTAAAATTCCATACACTTAAACTTTGGTTTACAAAAAAGTATTTCCGCCTTGCTGCTCCACATTTCTGGACAACTCTTGCCGCTAATCTACAGCTTGGCTCCCTCTCTTCGCTCCCCCTTTTTTATTTCCCTATAAAACTTAAACAGAGGCCATACTTGCACCTGCACCTAACTGTGTTGTCTGGCGCCTCTTGCTCTCATGTTATACAGTGCCGGATTAAGCTAGTGCGGGCCTGTAGCATATGTTATAAAGGGGCAATAAATTTAAAAAAACACACGTAAATATAAAAACACATTTTTTTACTTGCATAGTAAAGTAATTGTATGTTTTAATTTGCTATACAGCCAAATAATACGACAGATCTCTAACCTTAAACACCCAGTCGTTCATAAAAGTTGAAGGCGGTTTAGTACTATAGTAATAGAGCAAGTGCAGAATCAATTAACCGGATTTGATAGCTTGAAAGCATTTAGAACCAGGCCCTTGAAAGTGCGGGGCCAGTAGCATATGCAACTTTTGCTACGAGGATAATCCAGCACGTGTGTTATACATGCGCTGATTTTTGACGTGAGCGTTTCGTTTACGACCGTTAAATACCTCGTTTGTGATTTGTGCAACGTTCTTTAAGGACCCCGTACTCTTTCTCTGCATTGTTGATGTTTTTGTCTTTGTTGCTGCTGCTGTACTCACGCAGCACCATGGACCAGCCAGGAAACTGCCTAAACGGGACCATCTGTGTAACAAATAAAATAATCTTAAACACCACTAACCTGCCATGCTCTCTTCTAAGACTCCCCCATTGCGTAGTCTATCTTGCCACGCAATTCTCAGCGTCAGGTGGAATATGTGTCAAAGAAAGGAAATGTTTTACCTTCTGGCAAAACCTTGGATTTCATGACAGTCGTTGAAAGTTAACACTTTCCCCGCCTCGCTGTGTGGTCACTAATGCCAGTGCCGAACGGACGGCGTTGCGTTCGGACAAAACTTACGATGATGCCTTTGGGTCCGACCTCCCCGATCGGTCCCCTGGGGCCCTCCTCTCCCTGCGGAAAGAGACAGAGAGATGTTCATCGGTGAGCCGGCCCTTTTAGTGGCATCACGGCCGCCATCCCCCTCCACGCCCCCCGCCCACGACACACGTGTATCACCGATGACCGCCGGGGTGGACAGCAGCTACGTCGCGCCGACTGCGGTGCCGGATCGAGGAGCCCCACGACCTGTGAAGCTGCAGCTGCCGCTGCGGGTGGTGGGCGGTGCCGCCAACGTGGTGTGAACGCGTAATGAAGCTCGCGCCGAGACACCGGCTCCGTTTGTGCCGCGTCGCTCGACAGCCCCCGGGGGCGAAGTGGCGCAAGTCCCACTCCAGACGACTCCGAAATTCCTCGCGCTGCTAGGGAATTTTGTTATGGAGGTGCCCCACGCATCCCACCAGGCGAGACACAAAGACAAAAATCGCCCGTGCAGCCTAAACAGACTTTGGGGGCAAGTGCTGTCAGCGAGCACCTACGAAGGCTGGCATGGCACGCGAGGGGTTGGGTGTCCAGCACCGGTGGCGATGTTTGCACACCGCACCAGGTACTTCCCTTTGAGGCCGGGTCGACCTAGGAGAGGCCCAAAATCGGTTCAGATAATCGTCACTGGTGCTGGCGCATGAGCGGAACTTTCATTCGGGCTAATGGATTTGTAGCACAGCGTACTAACCACTGCGCCACAGGCGAAACGCACGCACGCACGTACCCGCTACTGCATCTGACCAGAATTCGTTTTGGCGATCACGAAAGACTCAACGCGTTCGTCAAGAACAATGCCCTAACGGGAAATAAATATTTTACAATAGGAGACGTTGAGGACATTGGTCCATTCTTATAGCAGAAGAAGGAACATGTCCCTAGAATAAAATAATACAAATATAAAACAATAAAATTCTCATTGTTTTATATGTGGTTTTATTATTTTTATTATTATTATTTTATTGTTTCCCTTCTACGTGACTTTACCGAAAGAACCAAGCATATGAATCCCTGCAGTCACGAAAGCTTTAAATCAAAAATGTCCCTAGAAGTTGCCGATTGTATTTTGTTACTTTTTAGGGCAGGGTCATCGATCAACGTTTTGGATTTTTTTTTAACAGGGCATCTAGTTAGTGTTGGTCATTTATTTGAAAACATCAGAACGTTTTTTTGTTTCTGAAAACACAGCAGTGACGGGTGCACCGCACCAGTCTCCACAGAAGCGGAAGGCTTTGATGTTGTTGTTGATGATGTTGCTGTTGGTAAAACAATGTGCCTACTTGTTTGTATTCGTCTCAAGAGTTATTGGCTGCGTGAATTCCTGGACTCGGCTGAATAAGCCTTGCAGCTGCCCGCGAAGCCACCCTTCGCGGTGCGCTCACTGGGCTCCGACACAAAGTCTTTTACTGCTGCTGCTACCACGACGAAGTCACCATGTGTGCTCAGAGTTGCTATTGAAAGGGGGCCTTTAAGGGAATTCAACAGAAGCCTTGAGGCGCATAAAGAAGCCTGCGCCGGATTTGTGCGAACAATTCCCAACGTTTAATATAGGCATCTTGTGATTGTATGGCCTGCAATTTCTCCTGGTGGATTTTATTTTTACGTGCTTTTCTTTATTTTTTGCAGGATTGTTTTGTGTATGGGGATAATATTCCTGACAACACCGATGTGTATTCCACGTCGGTCAAAAAGAATCCCATCACGTTTCCTTAAATAACCTCTGGAATTTGAATAGGTGCCTGGTGTGCCTCATACAAAAACCCAGGGCCTCATTCCTACAGAAAATAAGTGGTGGCTGTAATGAAGTAATAATATGTCTATGCGTGCGCGTGTGTGTGTTATCTCATCAATTTAAGGTAGTCAATTCTTGATAAAGGTTTTTGGGTTAGATCGCGTTTATTTATAAATGTGTCGTAACCCTCCACCACCCGACACGGCCAATCAGCAAAGAAAAGTGTCACGTTGACAAAAGACAAATAATTCACTACTTCAGCCCACCGGTGTGTTGAAGAGTTAATCCACATTTACAGTTTGAGTACGACGTTTCGCTGGTAAATACTTCCAGCATCATCGGGCAATTCGCCAGAATTCTGGCGCCAGAATTCGCCAGAATTCTGGCGAATTGCCCGATGATGCTGGAAGTATTTACCAGCGAAACGTCGTACTCAAACTGTAAATGTGGATTAACTCTTCAACACACCGGTGGGCTGAAGTAGTGAATTATTTGTCTTTTGTCAACGTGACACTTTTCTTTGCTGATTGGCCGTGTCGGGTGGTGGAGGGTTACGACACATTTATAAATAAACGCGATCTAACCCAAAAACCTTTATTATGAATAATATTGGTCGCGAAAGCCTACGTGTTAAACTAGTCAATTCTTGATCTAGAGAGATAACAGTTACTAAAGAGGTGAGCTAGAGCAGGATGAAGTTGTTTTTTGCTAAGGAAATTGATCATGAACAGAAGAATTCCGGCACACGTGAAGAAGAATCGAGTTTCTAAGAGGTGAAAATCTCTGAGATGTAATAATTATAATTATGCATTTGTGTATAGCGTCATACAGTGCAATTGCATATCAAAAGCTGTACAATAATTACACGATTACATCAGGGAAGTTGCGAATTACGAAGTGCAGAGATCAACACAAGTACATTCTCAAGGTAAGTAAATCAATACACGACAAAAGGTGTTTATAATGATGACTCTCAGCTCCTCACACCAGCCAAGATATCCCCTTGGTTAACTCACACGGGTCCCATTGGTTACTCAACATGGATCCCCTTAGTAACTCCACACGAGCCCCCTTAGTTACCCCACATGGATCTATTTGGTTACCCCACAGGCTACTCGCCTTCCCAAGGTGCACGCTCCGTCTGACAAGGGATCCCTGATGTCTTTCATCCGGAGGGCCCTTGTGCATTTATGTGCCGGTGACGCCAAGGAATTTACAGCCACCTCTGGGATGGTTTCGAGCGTGTACCCCCCCCCCCCCCATTTCCCCCTCTTAACCTGCCCCGGTGATTTATCGCCGTTCATTCACACGTGGGGTTTTATGATCAACTTTGACTCAAGTTTAGACGCGAATACCCTTCCAAGTATCGGGCATTGACGGCTCTCTCTCTCTCTATATAGTACGCGGCCGTGTGGCTCAAAAGTTAGTTTATCGAGATATATGGTCGGGTTGGCGCGAGACAGTTTTTCATGATATCAAACGACGTTAAATTTGACAATATGGTTATCACGATGTCAGTTGCACTTAAATTTGTAATTGTATCGAGCATTTTATTGTATTGTCGTTTTGCTTTGATGTACATTGATGTACTTCTACAGTGAATACATATTTACTTAACAGTTATTCAACTGCAGTTCACTCAACGTAAGCCTGCTACAGGTCTTCCAATAATGAGTAAGTTTCCAATTTACAGCGTTTACAACGCACAAGCCGTCAGAAAATGAGAGCATCACATCGTCGCCGTGCCGTCCATTGCTCCGGACAACGTTTTACAAAGCTCTCATGCAAATAACGTTAACAGCTATTTATTTTACTTGAATATTTAATTTTCACCAACTTCATTTTTTTGTTTGTTATTTCAGACATATTTTGTTAGAAAATGAAATATAAAAACTAAATAAACAATCAACGATAATCAGAGAGTATCCGGACGACAAGTTGGTAAGTGGGCGACACGATGATAAGCGTGGATCTTGTATCGTACGACACGTCGTGGTATCGTCACGTCTCGCCAGCCCTAACAGAGACACGTTACTGTGTTTTTATCTGTGCTTTTTCTTCTGAGCCAGAAGTCCCGTTTTTGGATGATGGGGGCCAAGGGGTGGTCAGCTGCTTGGCTATTTTATTCATTCTCCATGTGCTTCTGGGGTGAGGGTCACGGCATCAAAATAGCACGCTGATTGTTAAGTTACGTTAAAATTATACACGTAAAGGTGCAACGGACAAAAAGTCGGTGCACATATTTTCCCAAATAGTTGAAACGTTTTCTCATTATTTTGCCGTTGTTGTTCACGCACGGTAAGCTAACTCCTGGGCATATACATTTTTCATTGTGGGGTATTTTTGTTGGCAATATCTGGAACACAAATACGTTTCCAGCGATAATAATAGGAATAATAAATTACAGCCCTTTGGCAATGCACTGCTGAATGAAGGCCTTGACCATGCTTTTTCCACGCTGGTTGTTCGGTTTAGGTTCTACTCTGTGAGTGATAGCAGTGCATAATTGTTTCCTGTAGATGGTGCACTAAGGGCAAAGGTCCCCCGTGTAGCCTACATAGACTGCTGGGGCAAGTGCTGTTCGCGAGCACCTGCTAACGCTGGCACGGCGCCCAAGGACATGATGTGGCTAGCACCATACCAACCACCTTTATTTCTCCACTGCTGACATTTACACACCATTCAAGGCCGAATGAGCCCATAGGAGGCCCTAGACCAGTTCAGATATTCGTCAGCAATATAAGCCGTGTCACCGGGTTCGCAGAGAAGTGCGCCGACCACGACGCTACCACTCAAATGTTGAGCACGCACGCACATTGTAACGGGAACCCACATACGCTGTTAAAGAGGGAGGGCATCCCACAAATTCCATAATATTGCGGTTTCCAGACGGCCCTGCAGACTGACACCGCCACCGTCGCGTGCGTACACATTCCAGCAGTCGTCCCAACAATCACCGACGACTTCAAGGGCCACTCGCGATCGCCCCTTCGTGCTGCCATCCGGAGACCGCCGTCGTGCAAGACCACCCTCTTGCCTCGGCCCGTTCACCCCGAACGAGCGCTGCCGGCGCCGTCATCGTCGGGCTTTACAGAAGGTGACGACGTGGAATGCGTTTCACGCTCCGCTCGATTAACACGATTCCTTGCACCCTCCTCTCCGGCTTTCGCCACCGACCCTCCGCCGTTCGAGCCGATGCGTTATAAAGGAGGGTTTGGTGCGATGCGACGACGCTGCAGAGTATATCGTCGTATGACAATATTTACATTTATATGTCGTGTTGCTTACACCGTGATCATCGTCGCTCGTTTAATTGTCTTCTTAAATATTGAATTTCCCGATCAAAATGGAAGTTCCCTATTAAATTAGCGATCCGTTAACAGCTTTGTCCAGGCTAGTGGACGGCACGGCGATGGTATGACAACATTTTGTGACGGTATGTGCGTTGTATCCGTTATACGTTGTATAATTGCAAAGATTGTAGGCTTACGCTGCCTGAACTGGAGTTGAATCATTTTTAAGCAATCTTGATTCATACGAGAAGTACATGAAAGCACAAAACAGATGGGTGCAGTTGAGCAAGTAGGTTTGCGTCCTACTTGCTACGCTACCCAGGGTAAATCGTGTGTTAGTGATCTGAGTGCGATACACCAACGCAGCCTACGCATCACTGGAATCCAAGGTATTCTCCACCACAGCTGATTAATTAACCATTGTATTGAGACTGCTTGGCAGAGGCAAGTTGAGAACAAAAGATTTGGAAACAGATAATGCATGTACCCTTCTTGTAGATACATAGACAGAGTATAATTTTTCAATCTGGCAGCAGAGCCATATTGCTCGAAGATAATTTGTACCCAGGGGTTCAATACTGAGCCCCGAGGTCCAGATTCTGTAGGGGTTAAAATACTATCTCACCATTTGTTCGGTTTTTTGGATTACGTGTTCTATGAAAGAATGTCGGTGGCTGTGAATTGTGTGAGGCCGGGAAAGTGGAGACACGTGAGTTTGGGTCACTTACCGGCTCCCCTTGTGGACCAGGAGGTCCGGGCACTCCGTCGAACCCAGAGATACCCTGGACACACAAACACAAAGTCAATGGGCTCACCCCAACATCATTATCGGGCCACTTTGTTGAGCTATCATTTGTGGCCAGGTTGCTTCTGAAAAATTAAGTTAATACCTCAGCGGGCTTTTCCTGGTAGGATGGGGATGCTTTCATTGTATGTGTACGTGTTTGGGTGATTTGTATACCTTTCTTATACTCTGCACTCCTATCATAGTTTTGTACTGTTTGTTGTTGCAACGTTCTTACCCAGCCCTACTGGACATCTGTGAAAAAGAGCTTTGTAGCTCATCAGATTCCTCCTCCAGTAAAAATCAAATATTCTGATTTTAAATGTTGTCGTGGCCAGCTCTGTTTAAGTGACCACTTATTTTAAGCACGGAAAAGCTCACGCAAGTTCGGTCATCACCACACATGGCATGCCACCTTTGCTACCCACCTCACATTTCATATTCACATTTTTTGTGTGTTTGTTATCGGACGATAGGAATTGTCAATGATGGCCCTTGGCCAGGTGTCGAACTGGGATCGTGGTGCAGTGCACTAACAACCATGGCGCCAACAATCCTCGCACAAAGGCAACGCCCCAGTTTAGCCGTCTTGACTGTTTGGGCAAGTGCTGTTTGCGAGCGCCTATTAAGGCTGGAGAGCTCAATAAATGGCGGTGTGCTCGGCACCACGCCCAGCCAACTTGGTCTTTGCTGGTGTTTACTCACTACACAAAATGCTCATTTATGGCTAAAATGGCCTTGGGGAGACCCAGGCCAAATTCAAATATCACGGTTTTATACCAGAACTATTCCTGAGACACTGATGGTAACCATGACCCAGAATTGAACTCAGGTGACCAGGTTCAGACAACGTACGAACCACTGCTCTCCACGCTCCAAACACAACGATCCCTCGTTCAGCTTTAACATATTGTTGAGGCAAGTGCTGTTAGCGAGCCTTCATGAAGGCCGGTACGGCACACGAGGGGGCGTGTGGCCTACACCATGCCCGGCCGCCTTTGTCTCTTCAGTGACGATGTTTACACACCGCACCAGGTACTAATTTGAGACCGAGTTGACACGTACCCCACACTCGGTGAACTGATTTTCAGATGAATACCACCGCCTCACTGCGCCATTTCAGATCTTCGAGTGAAGCCGGACAAGCCGAGTTTTGAACCGATACATTTTAATAACTTCCATCGTTCATCACAACGCTTCTACAAATGTAGCCGTCACACATTGCCCCCCGCCCCTCTGGGCACAGCGCACGCAACACACAACAGGACCCTCAGAAGTTGCGCCCGGTTACAATCAATTGCCCGTGAACACGCCGTGATTGTGGGGGCCCCTAATTGCCGCCACTTACCCTTTCGCCTTTTGATCCCATCATTCCGGGAAATCCTCGCAGCCCTGAAGGTCCCTTCAAAGCAAAGAGGCGCACACAAAAAATACTAAATTACAAAAAAATTTAAATGAAATAAAAAAATCAATTAACTGGAGTCTGATCGCAGAGCCGAGATTACAGCAGAGTCGCACGCGGGCAGCTCGCGACCTCTCGCTTTCGTACGACGACTTTGGCGTGGAATACGAGCGCGGCGCAATTACGTGCGAACGTGCGGGACGCGCAACGTCCAACTTCTTTCGCGCCGTACGTAGCCAACCGCGCTAATCGGAGGTGCGGGAGTGCAGTAGGGATTTACGTGGCGTCCGAATGCAGCTGAATCTGAAGGTGATGTCAAAAAAATTGCAATCGCATCATTAAATCAAAGCTTATAGGTTAATTTTTTTGTTATTTAGCCTTCGGGCATTATTCTGGCATCTTAAGATTATTTTACTGTTTTATTGATGTTTTCCCTCTACGTATTTTTACTGTTGAATGAGTGTTTTTTATACTTGTCGTTGTCAATGTTTTTTTTTATCGTGACTTGTGTGAAGTGTTCCTTGGACCCTATGGTATGAATGGCGCTCGATAGATTATTCTCAGAACCCTTCCTGAAGAATGAGTTGTGTTATAGAATATCTAGGTAGGGTGTGATTGAAGACACTTGAGGAATAATAACAAGTGAGGCAAATGAGTGCAAAGATCTTTGATCTCTCAGTATCTCTCCGTGCGCGTGCACGTGACTTGCAATGTCACACAGCGGATTCTCTCAACTCTTGACGAGCCAGGGTCCTCTTCCCCACGATTCACGCCAGCATTTAACGCGAATGTATCAAGTTTTCCCCTTAAATAAAAGTTCTAATTAAGTTGCATAATTTTTTTAAACGTACATTTTTATAACATGTTATTTAGATTTGCTTTTAAAGACAATGGTTAACCGAATGGATCTACTTTTTTTAATACCTGTTGGACGTATGATGCATTTATTGTGATGCCAGATCTCCAATGGGCCCTCACTCGGTTATGAAGGAAATCTGCCGACCTGTCTATAATGGCAGGCAGGAAAGAGCATCGCTTGTCATGGAATGTTTCATTTGGCGACCCACTCAGTGGCTCCCGAGCTGGAAACCGTGAAAACCGCAAGTCCCTGCCCCCCCCGCCACCCATAAAATCCACTATGGCAGAGAAGTCGTCTGAATAAAGAAGCGTTGTGCAGCATTCGTGCAGCCCCCTCGTAACTGCGGCGTTGCGTGGGGTGGTATTGCTGGGATAGTTTGTTGTTGTTTGGTGGTGGTGGTTGTGCTTTAGGAGGGCCATGGCAGTGGCTGTTGGGTGACACAACTTACCTCTGGGCCTTGTGGGCCAGATTGGCCGGACGGTCCCTGGTGGCCCTCTTCTCCCTGACCAATTGGAACGTCAAGGGTGGCCGTTATTGTGATTGTAATGCGACACGTAAAAAACACTTCAATTCATATGCATATCAATACGTTTATTATTCTAACGATATATAACATTTTCGCTGCTCTCTCACGCATAGGACGGTGTTCCTCCACAATGTCACTTTTTATCCGATGGTGGAAATTGCGCAATCACATGGCAGGGACCGGTCACTCCATAGGACAAACACTGTTGTCTGCCCCACTTGAAATGATACTCAGCAGCTGGTGCTTTAATTTTCTTCTCTTCTAGGAGAGATGATGATGATGATTATTATTATTTTGGTGATGGTGATTGATGATAACGATGATATTGTAGTGGATCGTGGGTCCGCATTTTAAACCTGGCCAGGATTTGAACTTGCAATATCACATTTGTTGAGCTTCGCAGCTCTTCCAACTAACTATGCGACTTCCGAGCCATTACATGATTTTTTTTAAAAAAACGTACGCAACATGCACACTTACAAGTGTCATTGTAAGATTCCAGTTGCTCTAAAAAATATATTTAAAATGCCCGATAACGTTTAGTAACGATGTTCATAACAATGTAGCCCATACGTTGTCTCCGCCTACCATATAGCGGCAGGCTATCACAGTGCCACTATGTTTCACAGACGAGTATAATCTGCCAGTCGGGGAGGGAGTGAGGCCGACATGTGGTTTTTGCGCACTTAAGCAATTTGCGGGTTAACATTTCAGATTTGGCAATGATGCCGACACACAAGGCCCGCTATTTCGCGAATTACATCACGTGATCTTCAACGTCTTCACGCGAAGCGGACGCGCATGTATTGACGGTTCATGAAACCCGCAGTGTTAACCAGGGCGGGCGCTGAGCCTCGAACCACGAACCTCTGCAATGAACGGCGAGGCACGCTTCCTGTCGACCTCGGCCACTTTAATTACTTATCGCGTCCGAGAAACCCGAACTACACTCGAAAATTGAACACAAAAACACAAAACACAAAGCACTCTCACCTTGTGACCTTGCTTCCCAGGATCTCCAAATTCACCTTTGAACCCTTTGTGACCCTAGACGATAACAGGATTAGAAAATAGTACATTGACGAATTGTTTTCAAGTCTAGTACTGCACTGGATGGATGGTCGAGAAGACTGGTAAATCGGTAGGTAGGTTGGTATGTCGGTAGATAAGGCAGATGGTTAGGTAGGCATCTTGTAGAAAACAGGTAATAATGGAAGTGTATTTGTGTACAGCTGACAAAATATATGGGTAGACATTAATACTGAAGTCTGCAAATTGACAGGTTGATTGATTCATGGGAGTCAGCAGAATCCTGACCACACAGCTGTTATAATCTCTGCAATTATGTTTTGTGGATCGCATTTGTACGATGAAACCCATGACATGTCCTGCTGGACAGCTGAGGGCGTTGTCCTGTACTATCATGTCCGTGTGTGTACCTTCATCCCCGGCAGCCCAGGAGGGCCAGGGGGCCCGGCGGGACAGGACGATGGACACTGCAGAGCCACACAGAAAGACACAATCATATTCATCATTATCAGCTGTAGCAGCAGTAGCAGCCATAGGCAGCAGCAGGAGTGATGATCTATCCACCACTGGTTGAAGTCCTCCCCAAACCGTCGCCATCCTTCAACAACCCACGCAGAACCTGCACACGAGCCGAGTAATCATTCCGTCTCCGAGGTGGACGTCCTATCGGGCGTGCTCCCTCCTCTGGCTGCCACGCCTTTGTTAGTCTCGACCACCGGACATCGTCCCTTCGAGCGACGTGTCCCACAGAGGCCCGATTACTTTGTTTTTTTTCCGACAGTCAATGTAAGATTTCTTACTTGCGCATGTTTTCATTTATATGTTCATCTTCTTGTTTATAAAATATAAGTTCAATGGAATGGGTGCTCGCCTGATTATCAACAAGGATTCCTGTCTGCGTTTACTGTCTAATGAGGTTATATCTTTACATGTAGTTTTTGACATTTGAGCTAAACTTTGACACTACATGAACACATTTGTCTCTTAAAAAAAACATCGCGAATATATCAGTGCCAAAAAATATATACGCACATTTATTTGTTGTATTTTTACCTGGATATCCCCGCTGCCATCTCCTTGGAGAATCCCAGGAAGACCCTGGAAGGAATCGGGAGAACGAGATGATGAGCATCACTCAACTTCTCATATGGGGCAACGGGAAAAAAAAAATTATGGCATTGAATTCGCGAGAGGAGGAGGGGGTAGGTGGCAGTGCGAGAGACTTGTGAGGAGCTCACCCTGGGCCCTGGCAGCCCGGGAGGGCCAGGTTGTCCTTGAGGCCCAATCTCACCCTGAAAAGCAACACCGCACATTATCACATTTCTTTTTAACTATTAAAAACTCGAAAAAAAACTATCGAAACCACTTTTATTTTACCAGGTAAGGCCCACTGAGCTATATAGCTATTTCTCAGAAGTGTCCTGGTCATCACAAATGATAGCTCAATGAAGCGGCGTATCATGTGAACATTTATATCAACCAAATGCTCTACATGCATGTTTTTAAATGCGCGGGGGAAAACCGGAGGACCCGGAGAAAAATCCACAGGCCGTCACCATCTGTGCTGGTCCTGCGATATGGCAGTTCCCTTCTGCACACGAGCTCCATCTCCAAGAGGGCATGTTCCCCTCTTTGTCTGACAATTTCACCTGCCAACCCAGCAGCCGCTTGTTGAACAAGCCGGACTCCGCCGACGAGACCCGTGAAGTTGTAACCAGTCCAGAGAGTTTGCTTGCTTTAAACGAATGCGTGCTACTGGATAATATTGGTCTGGAGAGTCAGTAGGCCGATGGACTATAACATGTGTTTAATGTGTGGAAACAGAACAGAGTTCTGCTTATATATGCGTATATGAAAGCAGAGTTGCATGTTATTGCACAAGGTTGATCAGGCTAATATTATTATTACGAGTGTATTCACGCTAATGAAGTGCATTTGGATCGCTACAATCTGGCTGCGTGTGGGAATAAACGCCGTAGACGGAACACTACGTACAATCTGCCCAGGTCTCCCAATCTCTCCGGGAAGGCCGCCCAATCCAGCAGGTCCCTAAACGCAAGACGACAATGCATAAAAAAAAATGTCAATACCAGCCATTCGCCACTCAGTGATGCCTTTGCCAGGCCAGGTGGACTTAAAAAAACTACACTCACACACAAAGTGGAACAATGCTTAAATTGTTTTTTTTTTACAGAGAAAATGTTCGACGAAAAACAAACCTACATGCAAGAAATGACAACATTGACTACTGAATAGTAAAAAAAAAACTAAAAGCAGGACTGCACGTTGTAATCGCAGATTATATTTCCCCGCCCCATCTCCGCCATAAAAAGTGCCCTTGCTCGACAAAAACATCAGTCAGCTCAACTTATATGACGTTTCTGCCATGAGCCAGCGCAAGGGACGAATGGTTCATTTTAATATTTGTTCCATCTGTACATTTGTACAAAACCGAGCTCACGAAGGACGTTTGAAAATATTGACACTCACGGGCGGTCCAACAATGCCTTCGCCCTGGAGAAACAAAACGGAAGGTGACAGAGAATAACAACATTCAGCAGCCATGCTCTCCGTGTGACGCTAATACGCAGCTTGGTTGAGTGATTAACACTTTGCTCTGTCATTGGTGCGCCCTTGATATCATACGAACATCGACGCTGCTATCTTGACTATCGGGTTGCCCGAATCTTGCAGATGCACACCCGCGCTAATAGGGCTACTCACAAATGTGCAAAGGCAATTTTGTCCGTACAGCTGCCCACCAGTTTTCATTACTGCTAATAAATACTTCCAAGAAAAAACACACACAATGGTAATCGTCACAGGGCCATGCATATGCGTGTTTTTTCTATGTTTAATCGTAGTTTAAGTTTTTTGTTTAATGGGATATCTCTGTACTATATATTATGTTTGCAACCTAGGTCTCCCTTGTCTACGTGGACTCTCACCTGGTTATAAATAAAGTGCACTTACAAACGTTGTATATGTGTACACGTACAGCCCTTTTGTCAATCCATTGCCGGATGAGGGCATCTCCACTTTAATGTGGGCCGTGGAGATTTATTTGACCATACTTTGCCACGCTCGTCAGAGCAACTTGGTGGGAGGCATATATACGGGAAAAAGGGCAGTACAACAATAGATTTTTCTGAAAGGCCTTCTGCCAGCCCCACAGCCTGTAACAACCTGTTATGCACGGTGGTCACCCGTGCAATATGCAGACTCAAGCCTGCTTAGCTTCAGAGAGCTGACAAGATCGGGCCTATTTCCGCTTGATTTGGTCATAGACATGCATATGTTTTGGTTTGTAAAGTCCACGAGGCAGAGGAATAATAAAAGGAGAAAATAAAAGGCAATTACTGGGACTCCAGGTGGGCCGGCCAGACCTGGATCACCCTGAAAAAAAGAAAATAATCTTCATTACCATCATCATCATAAATACTTCATTGGTCTGTGTTATCAGGCATGTAACAATGAATCAGGTCAACAACAGAAGACTTAGATACATAGGCGAACAAAACGTGCATTATATTGCATGCCTAATAATTGAGAGTTTGCGACATCTGAAAATTACATTCAAATTATGCGCTAATGGTATGTTTGTATTCTAACTAAGCGAACAAAGCTGCACACAGGAAACAACAACAACAACAATTTAACTCTCGGATGCGTTTTCGTGTTGTACCGCACATTGTTCAGCGTCTTGTCCGACGTTTCGCTCAAAGTGCTGAGAGCTTCCAAAAATAAGGTACTGTGATCTCAGTCACTAAATCAAGGTTTATTATTGTTACACAGAAAATCCCGTGTAGCCAGTTATCCAGCTAGTTTGCAAAGGGAGATCTGTGGTACATCACCCACAGGACAAGAACAACAACATCAAAGTGCTCCCCGCGGGAAGAAATGGCGACAACGGAACGGAACGTATTTGAGGTGTAGGCAAATATAAGTGCTTAAAGAATATTTAACAATTTAAACTGGCATATTGCACCAAACACAATACCGCATTCACTGGATTCCAACGTACATTTTTTTCAATGTATTTTAAAGCAAAAGCTGGGGTTGCATGTTAGAATTCAGTCGGTGTATATCTGCCAGTCTGTGTGTGTTAACATAATTGTTATAACTGTATTGAACACCGGGCACAAATTTGGGGTGTGTATTACTTTCCGTTGCATCGTATAATCGTGAGAATATGGTAATTGTGCAAATACGTAGCTGACAGTGAAAAACTGGTGTTGCTCACTCGTGTAATGTATTACTGCGGTTATGGGCGACACTGCATATTTGGCAGAATGATTGCATAATTACGTTCCAAAACTGTATATTGCACTCCAGCGATAGGATTTTTGTTGTCACAAGAATGGTGAACAAAAGTCATAATTACTGAACAGGCATTCGGTGTTTTTTGGTACCAAAGTTGTGGAACAGTTTAACCGAAATTATTATAAAAGCACCCCTATTAATCAATTTATGACGGCAATGTTGGACGTGATTTTCACGTAGCGTACGGACAGCTCAAATAAAATTCACAAAATGTAGAGAATTCTCAAGGATATCTTTTCAGTTTGGGTTATTCTCATTTGTTGTGTATATTGTGTATTCTCTATTGTTTTGGGGCCCCGAATTTACTCGGTAGTTATCTCAAATGCCAGGGGCGTGGTATACATAATAATACATGACGATGAGGAGTAATAATACACAATATAATTGATGGAGCGGCAACCAAGGGATGAACTTCGTTCAAAAAAATTGGTCCACCCGTGGAGATGGAGCGATCAAATCGGTTCACGTGCAGGTGCTGCATCAGTGGTTCACGGCAAGTGGCGACAATTTGGGTAGGCCTTCATCCAGCAGCGGATTGACCATCGCTGATGATGACGTTTGAGTGGTCACCACATAATATATATATTTTTTGAAATCTAAAGATCTATATATTAAAATATATGTAAACGTTCTAAATCGAGCGTTTCCGCTTGCCATTGGCTGCTCCTGAGAATCAAGAAACGTTTCTTCATTCTCCCTTGGCACAGCGGAGAGAATGTTGTAATTGGAATAATAATTTGTTGGGGCTGTGCCTGACCAGGCTGCGCGCTTTCCAGAGGGGAAACGGCAGCACAACTGCGGCCAGATAATGCTGCAGCCGCTGCGTTTAGCATAAATCGCAGGAAACCCCAATTGTATATTTAAAGGCCGCGATGCGTTCCAACGCGTAGCCGTGTGCCCGCGTTAACACGGCCTGCGTGGAGTGGAGCAGTCCCCGTTTTGCTGTTGATCGCGTAGACCAGGGGGGGGGGGGGGGGGGGGGGGGTCGGAAAACTGCTGCTCCAGAGCCGCACGGTGATCTTTAAGAGCCACTTCATGACCGTTATTTACTAAGGGACCACCGTCCCTCGTATTCACCACGCGGTGCATCGCAACTCTTGAAATAGTGAGAGGTTTTTTTTTTTTACGAATTCGAACAAAAATAGCTGTTATTTTGATGACCGAACCCCTGTATGTGCGCTTGTATGCTGAACTTCTTTCGCACCGTACGTAGCCAAACGTTCTAATTGGAGGTGCGGGGAAGGACGACAAACTAAACACGCGCAAACAAAACTTCTTTCACACCGTGCTTTGCCAACCGTGCTAATCGGGGGTGCGACCCCTGACGCCACCGGCCTGCCCAGCCCCGTAGCGTCGGGTGGGGGCCCGAGCTGGCTGAGCCCCCCCCCACCCCCCCCCCCCGCCCCTCTTCCGCCCCCCCCCCTACTCCCCTAACTTGCTGAAGACTCAGCCCTTCCTGCTAAATCCTTGTAGTCAAATCACTAAACGGAACATGTCAATTCGTCACTAGTACAGCACACCGGCGTGCTGTACTCGTGACGAATTGGCCACGTTCCGTTTATGTGACAAACCTTTACTAGTTGTCGGGTGGTGGCGGGTTTGAACGACACATTTATATATTTACGCGATCTAACTCAAATCTTTTTTATATATATTATGGATGATATTGGTCGCGAAAGCCTCTTACGTGTTAAACAAATCACCAAACGTTGGTGCAAATATATCCTCTTAAACACGGGGTGAGTAAGAACCCGAGCGCAATGCACGGCTGACTCAAGCAACGATCGTGTCGACACTCGTTCGGTTTCGCGTTTTGGCGTTTGTTGTTGAAAGTTTGTTTAACATTGACCGCGTCGTGCGGTTGCATTTACACGCCGTTAACACTGCAATGATTTATTGTTTCCCACTGCAAACTGTAGAGTTTCTGACTACGGTGGGCTTGTACATGTGCGAGAAAAAAACATTCTACGTACATTTACTCAATTCATACGGATCCAACAGCCATGTGGTTTGCGAAAATTCCATAAATGTATTCGAGTGAAATATTTTACTGTCAGGAGTTTCAGGCGATTTGCCTTTAATGTTTGTATTTTCTTGTTAATAGACTTTTTGGCAGTTTATAACCGACACTTGGCATCGATCGCACTTGTGTGCGTATTTATTTGCCAGCACAGCTAATACAATGTAGCACAATGTATGCGAGATACACATTTAAACTGTTATACAAATGTAAATAAAACTTACTTTGGCGCCTGCAGGACCGGCACGACCAATATTGCCTTGGGGGCCGGTTAATCCCTGAAAATGTGGAGACAGAGAGAGAGAAAAAAAATATTAACGAGCATCATTGAATGTTTCGACAAAAAATGGTGACTTGTGGAACACCGTCTGACAGGGGACGGCAGAAGTAAAAAGGAGAGGATGACCCAAGATCAATCGGATGACAAATGCCATGGCATGCGCTGAAAAAGACGGAACAACAGCTGACAGAGGCCGCTAAGGACAGGCAGGGGGTGGAGAGGGTTGGCAGGCAGCCATCAGTGGCGACCCCACGGCCGTTGAGGTCAAGGGTTAGATGGCGGTGGTGACGACGGCGGCGATGATGATGATGAATGCCTTGCCATGCGTTACAGACAAGATCGTAGTGAGCAAGAGAGGATGCAGACCATGTTGCCAGCGGGCTGTGTTTAGCTTTATTGCCTTTTTGAGGGCCACATGGCCTTTAGAGACGAGCGATGCTTAAAATTGGCGCGTAATTTGAGCTTATTTTCAGCCGACCCACGGTGCGTTTTTATTTAATTACATTTGAGCTTGGCTCGCCGCTCTGCGTTACGAGTTAAAATTCCGTGATTACCCAAATAGGAACCACTTGTCAGTGGAGAGATGCCTCTGCTTTATTGTGGATTTGACCAATGCCCAATTCAATAATTAATCACCCCCTTCATTATAATTTTCGCCGCTTCGTTCCAGGCAATATATCTAGCCGACGGGTGGAGTAGGAAGCGCAGCAGATCGCGAACTGCGTAAGCGACCCATTAACCTAAGTTTGAATATCGCCGGCCACGGCCAACATCAGTGGCGAGTGAGATCCAAGACGGCCCTGGGTCTCCCACCTTGAACAAATTGCACCGACCAGCATGGTGAAGTATCGTAAACCCCCCCTCCCGCCCTCCACCTCGACTGACACGGCGTTGGCGAGGGCTTTTTTCCAGCAGTGGAATGACAAGGGCGTTGAAACGTAAAAAAAAAATCACGTTCTAAGCTGATGTTTCGAAAGTTTAATCTCGCTGAAATAGCGGCGGTGATGTCTGCACCATCTGCTGCGGCCTCGTCTTCACGTCAGCCCGTCGGAAGACGTGGGCAATGTTCACGGTAAAAATATGCATTCAACGGAGGGCATTGTTTGATATTGGAGGATTGGCCGCAGCTGGACCCTGAGGATTGAGGCATGCCGAGATAGGCGGCTGCTTTACCCCGTGCCTTGCACAATGCACACAGTGACGGGAATGCTCCCGTACATTTCCACACGATGATAGGCCACGTCGTTGCGCTGTCATTTGTGGCCAGGTCGCTTCTGAAAAAGAAGCTAATAGCTCAATGCAGCATTACCTGATAAAATAAAACATAGTTCATAATGGTAATATAAGCACGTTTAGAAACATTGAGAAACATGCCTTTAGAGTATTTGGTTCCATACATTTCCACGTGAGACACTTTGTTGAGCTATCATTTGTGGCCAGGTCATTTCTAAAAAAGAAGCAAATAGCTCAGTGGGCTTTACTTGATTGGTCGTGTCAGGTGGTGGAGAGTTGTGACACATTTATAAATAACGCGATCTAACCCAAAAACCTTTATTATTAATAATACTGGTCGTGAAAGCCTAAGTGTTAAATTTACCTGGTAAATTTTAAAACTGTTTAGTTTTATTTGTCTATATTTTTTAGTGATTTCTTTACATTTCCTATACTTTGCACTCCTACCGTGTTTTTGTATTGTTTGTTGTTGTAACATTCTGATCCACCCCTACTCGACATCCTTGAAAAAGAGCTGTAGAGCTTATAGGGATTCCTCCAGTATAAATATATATGCTGATTCCGTTTGTTACTGGACAGCCACGTGTGCAGGTTGGTAGATGGAAGGACCGCGAGAGCCGGTGGGAGGCTTGGGGAGGCCTCTATCCAGCAGTAGATTGACCATGGCTGATGATGATGGTGACTGAAATTAATCCAGGTTAACTGATGGAGGGGTGATGCTACAGGAGCGCCTTCTCACGCATTCGTTAACACATCATCAACATCATATGTCTCTTCCGTCATTCTAACGAGCTAGATCAGCGTTCACTAATTTTCAAACGGGGGCCACTTTCACCGATAAGACTTCGACATCATCAGTGTGTGAGGGCCGCCACAAATTTTTAAATCGTTGGGGTTTGACAGCTATGATGGGGGTGTTTTCACCATTTGTGTACTGTCGAGGGGCCGCACGTCAGGGTCAGCACTAAAGTCCACCAGGGGAGGCCAGTGGCCCGCGGGCCTTGCAATGAAGAACATTCTGCTTCACAAGAAGCCATGCCGAACAACACGGCATTAAAACCCAAAGATACACCACCTCAACCTACCTACTACCACCCCAACTTGTCAACTACCACTTCAACTTGTCTACTACCACCTCAACTTGTCTACTACCACCTCAACTTGTCAACTACCACCGCAACTTGTCTACTACCACATCAACTTGTCAACTACCACCTCAACTTGTCTACTACCACCTCAACTTGTCAACTACCACCTCAACTTGTCTACTATCACCTCAACTTGTCAACTACCACCTCAACTTGTCTACCACCACCTCGACTGGTTAACTACCACCTCAACGTATCTACTACCACCTCAACTTGTCAACTACCACCTCAACTTGTCAACTACCACCTCAACTTGTCTACCACCACCTCAACTTGTCTACCACCACCTCAACTTGTCTACAAGCACCTCAACTTGTCTACCACCACCTCAACTTGTCTACTACCACCTCAACTTGTCTACCACCACCTCAACTTGTCAACTGCCACCTCAACTTGTCAACTACCACGTCAACTTGTCTACTACCACCTCAACTTGTCTACCACCACCTCAACTTGTCTACCACCACCTCAACTTGTCTACTACCACCTCAACTTGTCTACTAGCACCTCAACTTGTCTACTACCACCTCAACTTGTCTGCCAGCACCTCAACTTGTCTACCACCACCTCAACTTGTCTACTACCACCTCAACTTGTCAACTACCACCTCAACTTGTCTACTACCACCTCAACTTGTCTACTACCACCTCAACTTGACTACTACCAACTCAACTTGTCTAATACCACCTCAACTTGCCCACTACCACCTCAACTTGTCAACTACCACCTCAACTTGTCTACCACCACCTCAACTTGTCTACTACCACTTCAACTTGTCTACTACCACCTCAACTTGTCTACTACCACCTCAACTTGTTTGCCAGCACCTCAACTTGTCTACCACCACCTCACCTTGTCTACTACCACCTCAACTTGGCAACTACCACCTCAACTTGTCAACTACCACCTCAACTTGTCTACTACCACCTCAACTTGTCTACTACCACCTCAACTTGTCTGCCAGCACCTCAACTTGTTAACTACCACCTCAACTTGTCTACTACCACCTCAACTTGTCAACTACCACCTCAACTTGTCTACTACCACCTCAACTTGTCTACTACCACCTCAACTTGTCAACTACCACCTCAACTTATCTACTACCACCTCAACTTGTCAAGTACCACCTCAACTTGTCAACTACCACCTCAACTTGTCTACTACCACTTCAACTTGTCTACTACCACCTCAACTTGTCTACTACCACCTCAACTGGTCTACTACCACCTCAACTTGTCTACTACCACCTCAACTTGTCAACTACCACCTCAACTTGTCTACTATCACCTCAACTTGTCAACTACCACCTCAACTTGTCTACCACCACCTCGACTGGTCAACTACCACCTCAACGTATCTACTACCACCTCAACTTGTCAACTACCACCACAACTTGTCTACCACCACCTCAACTTGTCAACTACCACCTCAACCTGTCAACTACCACGTCAACTTGTCTACCACCACCTCAACTTGTTTACTACCACCTCAACTTGTCAACTACCACCTCAACTTGTCTACTACCACCTCAACTTGTCTACTACCACCTCAACTTGTCTACCACCACCTCAACTTGTCAACTACCACCTCAACCTGTCAACTACCACCTCAACTTGTCTACCACCATCTAAACTTGTCTACAAGCACCTCAACTTGTCTACTACCACCTCAACTTGTCTACTACCACCTCAACTTGTCTACCACCACCTCAACTTGTCTACTACCACCTCAACTTGTCTACCACCGCCTCAACTTGTCAACTACCACCTCAACCTGTCAACTACCACGTCAACTTGTCTACCACCACCTCAACTTGTCTACTACCACCTCAACTTGTCTACTACCACCTCAACTTGTCTACCACCACCTCAACTTGTCTATTACCACCTCAACTTGTCTACTACCACCTCAACTTGTCAACTACCACCTCAACTTGTCAACTACCACCTCAACTTGTCTACTACAACCTCAACTTGTCTACTACCACCTCAACTTGTCAACTACCACCTCAACTTGTCTACTACCACCTCAACCTGTCTGCCAGCACCTCAACCTGTCAACTACCACCTCAACTTGTCAACTACCACCTCAACTTGTCTACTACCACCTCAACTTGTCTACTACCACCTCAACTTGTCTACTACCACCTCAACTTGTCTACTACCACCTCAACTTGTCTACTACCACTTCAACTTGTTTACTACCACCTCAACTTGTCTACTACCACCTCAACTTGTCTGCAAGCACCTCAACTTGTCATCTTCCACCTCAATTTGTCTACTACCACCTCAACTTGTCTACTACCACCTCAACTTGTCAACTACCACCTCAACTTGTCTACTACCACCTCAACTTGTCTACCACTACCTCAACTTGTCTACCACCACCTCAACTTGTCAACTACCACCTCAACTTGTCTACTACCACCTCAACTTGTCTACTACCACCTCAAACTTATCTACCACCACCCCCAACACAACCGTCCCAGCGAGCTGACACCCAATACCCACCTCCTAACCAATCTCCTTCACCTGTCTCTCTCTCTATCTCTCAATGTCTCTTTCACCGACACCAATTTAGCTGAAAAAAGGAATCCTATGCCCGGCCGATGCAAACGCCAGCCAGTGACGGACGTGGGCAGCACTGTGGAGGCATTGTGTGCCGAGCCGGTTGCTCTATGAGCACCGATGGCTTGCATTGTCACCTTGGTGGGGGGGGGGGGGGGGGGGGGGGGGGGGGGGGGGGGTGGTGAGGTGGGGGGGGTTCCTGAGCCACCCACAAATAGGGAACTTTCAGTTGCAATTCTTCGGCTTTCACGGTGGGAGCTTTTTCATGGGTAACTTGTGTCTGCTGCATGATGTTAATAATCCTACTCCGAATACGACGTGACTCAAGGCAACGCATTTGTATGTTGTTCTCCCCCATTCCGTTATTGTTGGCAGATAGTATTATATTTCCATGAAATACATCCCCGGTTATTTTGTGCCTCCCTAGGTGGCAACCTTAGGTTTGGTGCCGATGCGCTGGACTTGCACGGATTTTACAAACGCACCGGAGTTTGGAGGCGTGTGGAGTTGGGGGGGGGGCAAGTGAGGAGAGATTGGTGTAGGCCAATCAGTTTCAAAGGCAATGCATATTTTATCAGAGCATGTTTGTTTGTATATTTCGCCACGAGTTTGTGTGGTTAACGCAGACTTGATGCCTTGCAATAGGAATCTATTTGGTGTTTGAACTTCTTAAACACCTGTTGTATTGCAAGAAAGGATACTTGCAAAAAAAACAGGGCCAAATAAATACGAGGAGAGATTAGTTGAAGGAAGCAATGACAGGTTCAATTTACAGAAACTCACGTCGACCCCAGGGAATCCTGGGAGGCCGATCGGGCCTTCCAAGCCCGGGTCACCCGGGTCTCCTTTCGGTCCCTGCAGGAGAGACAGCAAAATCGCGGCGTCACCGACTCGCCAACGTGGACCCGGTTACAGGCCGACATGTGAACGTGTCAGACGTGTACGTGTCAGATATGAGAACGTGTGTGTAAAAAAAAATGACCGACCATGCACCCGTAGGTTACTGGAACTCGATCGCCACCCAGCCTAATGTTTAACTGGCTGCCCGCACCAGGGTTTGGGCATCCCTGCGCTTCTCCTTTATATAAACCAGGTCAAAGCACTTTGTCCTGTTGATCATCTTGACCACCTCGCAGAATCTCTCTCGGTTTGCAAGCGCTGGATCATTATGTCCCCCCCCCCCCCCAAAACGAGCGATCGTTAGATTTGTTTCTGCCTTCTTAACATCTGTCACGGTACTTGTGCCTATCCAACAAAAAGAGGCTGCTATCTTTTCCCCAGTTTCTCCCTTCTTTCCACTATTGAGAGGATTTCCCAATCTCCGTTGGATCGTTTAAACGCGACGCTTTCTTTTGGTCGCTGCTGTGGTGGACATTGCGCTCATGAAAGATAGCATTATTCGGTAGAATGTGTGTACGTTGAACTTATTTCGCACCGTACGTGGCCAACCGTGCTGATCGGTGGTGCGGGGGAAGGACAACGCACGAGACAGACGCACACAAAATGTCTGAGTGGATAATTGGCCAGTTCGGATATGCGACGATTGTACTGTGAATCCACGTCGAGTAACATCGTCTGGATGCTCTCGACGGACACTGTGATTTGTGCTCTTCTCTCTTTCCTCTAGCAAGTGGAAAATCCACATTCTCGTGGCAAGGGCATACGTTGCACGTGAAGTATATTGTCCATGTGCCAGCCAGTGCAGATATTGGTGGCACCTTGGGTCGCAAAATTTTTGCAGCACAGATTTATTTTATACGGCTAATACGCGAGACGTACAGTAATCGATAACCCCACTCATTGCAAATGGTTGTGCGTACAGTATGTATGTTGAACTTCTTCCGCACCATACGGAATCACGAAAGACATAACCCACCTCAGGTGGTTCTATACCGTCATATTGCAATTACCTCGTCTGGACTCGTGGTCTAATGTGATGATTGTATTTTTTTTAACCCGATAGGAGTGATTTTTATTATTACCAGCGGTCCGGGAAGCCCTTGAGGTCCACGTTCACCCTGTGAAATAAATGCAAAAAAAATATTAAGTAATGTACGTATATTGAGCTTTTTTCGCACCGTACGTAGCCAACCGTGCTAATCGGAGGTGCGGGGGAAGGACAATAAACTAAACACATAAAATGTTACATTTTCATGAAGTTATTGTTCGTGTGTTTAGTATATGTTAGGTATAAGTTATTAGTCGTGTGTTTAGTATGTGTACGGGTGTATTTACATGGGGATGGGAGGAATTGCAGAAAAATAGTCTAGTTGTTATTTAGATTTTTAAGAATTAAGTGTTGTTAAAATTCACGTTTTTCATCCAACATATTTTGTTCAACCAACCAATCGCGTAGTGCATCTTTGAAGCAAATGAGGTTTTAAGAAAATACGTTTAGGGAACGATTTAATCTCCATATTTATTCAACGTAGGCGTAGATTACACCGCTTTGAGTGAAATCGAAAAAACAAATACGTACAGGAACTATACAACGCTTAGTTTTACGCACTGAACAAAATAACTTCTGCTCAATAATTCCAATCTTTAGAACACAAGCATTTTATGTTTAAACAAAAACATGAAAAAATCATGAAAAACCATGAATACTATCAAAACCATGAAACCATTAAAATGTCGTGAAAAAAAAACACGTGAAAAATCATGAATACATTTTAACTGAGATTAGGGGGGGTGGTGGGGTTGGTTTGGTTTCCAGCTTGCTTTGTTAAATCAGTTCAGTGATGTTTATTTGAGTTAAAACATATTGGGGTGTGGGGGGGGGGAAATCGACGACACGGATACAAATATACATCCGAGCAAAAAAAAATGTACATCCCCACGTAAGACAAGACCGAATTATTGCATTAAGTTTAATGTTTTTTTCCCACGGACAAACTTATGCATATATAATGCACACACGCAGACATGCATGGACTCGTGTACATATACTGCAGTAAGGGATAAGCCACGTGCAGTAGTAGTTAAGGTCAGGTGGTGTTAAGGCTCACGTCCACTCCGTCAATGCCCGGAACGCCCGAGGGCCCAGGAGGACCCGAAGTCCCTTGGGCACCTTGGCCGGGACGGGAACCGCGGGGCTGAAACACAAACAATCCGGCTCATTATGAGTGCGTGTGTGTGGACGGGTGGGGGTGCGAGTGTGCGGGTGGGGGTGTGGGAGTGCGGGTGGGGTGGGGTGGTTACACGCGCACGTGTGTGTGTGTGCGTGTGATCCGATGGGTGGGGAGCGGTAGTGTAGCGGTTAGCGCTGTGCTGCGCTGCGAATTCGGCAACCCGAGTTCGATTCCCGCTCACGGTCAACACCAGTGACCATTATCTGAATCGGTTCTGGGCCTCCCCGAGGTAGACTCAGCCTTCAATGAGTACCTGGTGCGGTGTGTAAAAATCGCCACTTGGGAGACAAAGGAGGCCGGGCGTGGTGCTGTCCACCCACCGTCTGGTGTGCCGTACCAACTTTAATAGGTGTTCGCGAACAGCACTTGACCCAACAGTCTATTAAGGCTATACGGGTTATCTTTGCCTTTGTGGATGTGTGTGTGTGTGTTGCCATGTGGGTGGGGCTTGGTGTATGTGTCCGTGCGTGTGTTGGGGGGGGGGGGGGTCCGTGTGATGTGTAAGAAGAGGGAGTTGGGGGGGCAGGAGGAATTTGGGGGAGCGGCAGCGGGTTTTTACTTTTAACACTGCCACATCAAACCCGGCGACCTGAGTTCGATCTCCAAGCGTTTTCAAAATCAGGGTCTCCCCTCGGTGGACTCAGGGAGACCGCAAGCATCAGCCGGGCTAGGGCGGAACTTGCCACGCCACCCACTCCAGCCTCGTACGCTAACAGAATCAAAATTCACTACCATCATACAGACTGGAAGAATCCGATGAGCTGCGAAGCTCTTCCCCCCCCCCCCCCCCCCACAGACGTCCGAAGTGTGTCCCAGCACTGCGCAACACCGAGAAGTCTGGGCGGCCCCGTGATGCCGCCACCTTCCCGTGACCCCGGGAAGGTGACGGGTCGCGTCCCAGTATCACAGCGCGAGTGAGAAAGGGCCACGCGGGATACGTAAAACGTTGAGTTTGTCCAATTTTAAATATCTCTGTCCTACGGGAGCGTAACACATTTGCTACTCGTATCAAGTCGGCCGTTGCAAATGTATAGTTTTGACGTTGCGTGATTTGCCTTTTGCCGTGCCATTTGTTATTTTAATGTTGAATATTTCCACGGCACCCCCCCCCCCCTCGCAATGCGCATTGCTATCTTGCCGTACATGGCCACCCGATTGTGGATATCCCAGGATAATTAATCAGGAGAAATTATAGATAAATCACATTTCATTTCACAGTCTCTACGGGTCTCCTGTAAGACATGGAACCATGGATCTCACGTGAGGCGCATGAGACATCAGCGAGGTATCGATATATTGATCGTCTGGGATATCCATCGGGGTCTTCCTTGCAAATTGTCCCAATCGGCGCTCACCTCTTACAACAGGGACTACTCGTACCTCCCAATGCTGCCGCAATTACTGCAGCAGTAATCGTCATCTGCGCACGTACGCGTGCATGTGTGCATGTCGACACTTATTTCGCACCGTACGTAGCCAACCCGCGCTAATCGGATAGGTGCATGAGGTCACCGCGCGCTGTGCAGTGCGCGCGCGCGTGCGCGTGTGTGTGAGATCGTCGATTGCATCTCTGCGTCCGCCCCGACGCGTCCCCACCGCCGAGCCCGTTGTGGCAGATTGTACTCGAAGATTTTGCAAGGCACCCACACGCAGAAAGAGACGCAGCTTCAGTTTGCTTTGTTTAACCAGGTGATGAATAAAGATGCCGGGTGAGTCCCGTTTGCGAGAGACACCTGCTGGTAGGGGGTTGACGATTTTCGATGCATGCCGTAATCCCCATCGAGTGATTCGCGGCGTAACTTTTGAATGTGGAAACGCGACGGAACGCTCTTGCCAATGACATCACGGGGGTCTTTAACGTCCACAGAAGATGCGGGCGACGCGCAGCGCGCAATTTGCCACGCGACGGTAATCGCAACCTCGATAATAATCGGGGCAGCCGCGGGATATCGAACCGTGAACCTTTGCAGCGTCCGCTGCTCTTCGATTCCTAAGTTACATTTCATTATTTACGTTGCCATACCCAGTGCCGGACCCTCACCAAGTGGGAAGTCTCCTTCTCATTTGTCACTCTGTGGGACTGCATCTCTTCCCCCCCTCCAGCCATCCGTGCTCTCGACTCCCCCTGCTGCTCCGTGCAAGTCCGGGCTATCGATTGAGAGTCTATACAAGCCTCCTCCTCACGTGATACATTCTGTAACAGGTTCACGCTATATAAATCGTTATTTCTACAGGGAACTATAGAGTACAATGTGCGTGCGTAATTGTGCACATCCACGCACATAGAGCATCGTGATTCAAGCTACGTGAGTTACAGCGGTGTTATAGAAGGGCTAGGAAGTTGACATTGTTCCACAAATATATGAAAGTCTTTGCTTATAAACTGACAAAAAGCTGAAAACTAAACGTTTTTACAAATCTCGAACCCCCCCCTCCCCCGGAGAAAATTACAGCGGCGGAGCCGAGATTGGTTTCACTCACGGGGCAACCTCAGCCTGAAGTTCAACATTGCCGCTGCAATCTTCGCGCGAATTTCGCAAGGGTGCCATCCTCATCATCCGCGAACCAAGTAACCCATCTCGAGTGGAATGTGACCATAACAAGCCGATAGAAAGCGGGCACAGCCCACGTGCTGGTTACCGATACGATGCGCACGCACGTATCATAAGCCCGTTGGTTGGTTACTCCACCTGGAGTAATAGCCCCGAAAGAGGCCCGTTGCACGAGACGTCTGTGGCGATCCCTTACCGATGTAATGTGTCAGTCCGCTGCCGAATAAGGGCCTCCCCACGCTGTTGCGGGCCCTAGGGGGGTATTTGGCCATACTTCACCACGCTGGTCAGTGGGGGTTAGTGAAGGAGAGAACCATCGACTTTTGAACACGCACATAACTATTCAATTGAGTTTGTTGAATTTGTTACACGGATGATTGCGTTGAGCCAGTTTCCCTGGCTATTTGTTCCACTACCTGTAGAGTATATTTGTGTGTATCTATACTGTATATATCCTATGTGATGAAAATGATGAAGTTAAAGTGGGCTCTGGCAGGACACGTCACTATAAAGTATGGCACGTGTTCGTGGGCACTCTCACTGGGGAGGAGATGGAGCGATGGAATCAGCCCCGTGTCTAGGTGATGGGTGGATTATTGCATCGCAGGGTCGTGAGAGATGACTGTGCATTGAAGATGCCTTTATCCAGCAGTGGATTAACCACGGCTGCTGCTGATGATTATAACCTGTATGATATTCTCATGCTTAGTAACATATGACCTTGAGGGTTTGAGGGTTGGGGTGTTTTAAGTGAATGCATAAAGTATTCGCCGTGTGGCTCAGAACTGAGAAGCGGCTATGTGAGTGAGAGGTGTGATATTTCTCTCTCCCGTGACCTGAATACAGACAAGGCCCTCTCTCACATGCCCTTCCTTCCAATAGAGGCCTTACTGAGCCAATGGAGACCTTACTTATCCAATGGAGATCTCACCGATCCAGTAGACCCCCTACTGATCCAGCAGTTGTCTTACTGATCCAGTAGACACCCTACTGGTCCAATAAAAACATTACTGATCCAATTAGACACTTTACTGATCCAGCATAGGCCTTACTGATCTGATCGAGGCTTTACTGATCCTTACCTTACTGATTCAACAGACTGTTTACTGATCATTGTAGTGGCCACGAAACCCTTCGCTTTAAGTTAAAACACCTTACTCAATGCCTTCTCAAGTTGCTACATGATGATTATACTGATTATACTGTTGATGTATGATGTTTATTATGATTATTTGAAATAACGATAATTCTGCTACCTGATGATGTTTGAGATAACGAAAGTGTTGCTGCTTCTTATTATGATGGTGATGATTATTTGGATTAATAATTATAATGATAATGCTGGTTCCTAATGAAAATCTGCTAATAATGACGACAATAAATAAAATATAATACTGCTTGCTGATGATGATGACGAAGATATCACGCGAACAAAGACAAATGCAAAGATTCCCCGTATAGCCTGCACAGGCTATTGAGCCAAGTGCCATTAAGTTGCTGTTCTCGCGTGCACACGGTCACGGTGCACGAGGGGGTTGATGCGGCCTGCACCACGCTCGGTCGTCTTTGTATCTCCCCAGCGCTGATGTTAACACACCGTACCAGGTACTCATTTAATGCTGAGTCGCCCCTCGGGGAGTCCAAAGACCGTCGTAGATATTCGCCGCTGTCATAGCCCGTGACCGGGAGTCGAACTCGTTGCGGCAGTGAGCTAACCACCCTTTAACCCGTGGCGCACAACGCCGCCTGTGCGAGTTTGACTCTCCTTTCCGTGACCACGAGAGAGACAAATGCGGCAGCGGCGACCCAAGCAGGTGAAGCAATTAACCCCCCCTGCCCCCCCCCCCCCCGCGGTGCAATTCGGGTTTGCGGTGGAGCGGTGGCGCAGTGGTTAACGCCCGTTGCTCTGTCACCCCGTTTCTTCCCCCGAGTTTGATTCCTCCCGCTACGGCTTACATCAGTGACGACGGGCGATATACGGACCGGTTCTGAGTGTCCCCTCTCTCTTCTCCCCTCGCCCACCCATCCATCCACCCCTGCCTGCGACCTTCACCGCCTTCACTTACCGGCGTGGTGAAGTATGGTTGTGGGATTATTGCGATATATGTTTCACAGTAATGCGAAACTCAAATTTATAGTTGAGTGCCGTCGCCCTGTTGGCCTTCCGGACCAGTTGCGTTTTAATCAGACAAACTCTGAATGGGTTTCGACCTCTCTCCGAGACTCATCAGCAAGGCTCGGGCTCGTTAGACCAATGCGTGTGGGTTGCTTCGTGGCAAGAGCATTCCGTGACTACCGCTGGACCCATCAAGTGCAAGTGTAGAGCGACAAGGTTCGGCGTATGTTCCTGCGCTGGCGTGATTGATGTGTGATGTGTGAGTACGAAGTTGTGTGTAGTTTATCCAACGTATATATCTAGACGACGGCGAATGAGCGAGTGGTTAGTACAGGTCATGCACATTTTTTCTCGAAGGGTTAGAAATCTGCAATTTGGCACGACTATGCTGCAGTGGGCGCGGACCTTCGGTTGGAAGGGCTCACAGGGCACGCAGTGCCCGAAGCTGCACACTACGCCGCTTAACATCTCGTGCTTAACAAACTTAAACTATAAATGCGATCCCCATCGTCAGTAACACCGAGTATCCACCCCCCCCCCCCCCCCCCACCGTGAAGTTTGACGCTGAAGCCAATAAAAAGCGCGCGTATCTGTTATATTTACGCGATCTAGCCCCCTCCCAAAAAAAACTTTTATCGTGGATAATATCGGTCGCGAAAGGCCACTCCGTGTGAAACTCCTCAATATCTCAGCTGTGGGACGGAGCACGGCAGAAGGTTGGCCACGTCCACCAGTTCGCGCGTCGTTTGGTGCATTGCACGTGTGCGTGGGGGGCGATGCGGCGAAGGTGGATTTCATTCGTCCGTACATTATGAATCACATTTTTCCACAACTTTTACCGATTGCAGAGAAATATTTCCCCCGTAACCGACCTGCTCGCGATGTCGCATGGATGGTTCGCCTCTAAGGGGTTTCCTTGTTCTGTTCCAAAAACGTTGATCTATTATCTCTTATCCCCTCCAGCTCTATCTCTCTCCCCCTCTCTCTCTATCTGTCTCTGACCTCTATTTCAGTGCTATGATGAAGGACCGTTGCCCAAAACGTTGCCTGTTAAATAATTCGTCATTTTAAGGCCACGGTGTTATTATTAACGAATAACATCGTGGCCTTAAAATATTCTTATTAATCGTGCTTTTTGCACCACTGCCAACACAGCAGCATCAGCAGCACCAAATATTGTGTTCCAAAAACGGTTATTACGAACGCAGTGTGCTCATTAATTCTGCATACACAAAATAAAGGGGATTGGCGTAATTTCTTCAGCAAATATCATAACTTTAATTTTTTCGTCCCCACCCCCCGCACCCAAAAAATGAATTTAGATTCTCAGAGCTTTGACGGTCACCATCTGGTTCGCCACCGTCCTCTGATCATCATCATCACCATCCTTGATAATCGTCAACGTTGTCACCATTAGCATTATCGTCATCCTCGACATAATTTCCACCACCACCACAACTCCTGCCATCGTCATGGTCATCGCCATGGTCACGATTACTGCCATCACCACCACCACGAATGATGGCAGTTGACCAATTGGGTCGTCCCTAAACAATGAAGTTTGGAATTTAAGAATCATCCTGGCAGAAAAGATTATTAATTTAATCAATCTTGCCGGGGATTTGGCTTGGGGGCTTGAGGGCGAAACAAAATATGGATTTTTTTTAAAACTAAGCCATCATATTTCCAACAAAAACCATAATACAAATGAAGGTGACCCGCATTGTTTAAAGGGAGCGGTCTTATCAATAACTGGTGGTATTTATTTAGTGCGCCTGACTGCTGATGACACCCAATATGTTGAAAACTGTCTAGAGTTTGCATGTGTTTGAATAAGTGCTCCTCGTTAATTAAGTCTGGAAGGTCAATAGTCCTATGGACTATACATCTAATTATTTATAGATAATGGATTCGTTTCGCTGTGCAAGGTGTATTTTGTAGATATGCATGCCTATTAAGTTGTCTTTAACTCTTAGAATTGAGTTAACTCATTTTCTGCAATCGCATTAACACTATCACCACCACCACCATGGTTACCATCATTATCTTCATTAACATCACCCACCAACGTGATCTCCATCATAACCGCGAGCATCACCACGATTAGTCAATGAAAATCTACGCAGCTATCATCGCCCCCTACTGTGAAGACCTGGCAGGACCTTCCCAATAAACATTCGTTAGACTTGGTGGTGAGGCTTTCCCGGGTAAAAAAAACCCAGCGCAATAAATTGGATACGGCCCGCGACTTCATTGCACAAGGCACGTGGCGCCACACGCACGATCAATATCACCACCTCCTATCATCATCATCTTGATCACCATCATCACCACCACCAACACAATCGCACAATCATCATTATCACGACCACAATCATTGCGCCGCAGTTTCTTCTCCACAGCGAACCAAAAAAATCCCACCAAAGACAAAGATCCCCCGGATAGCCTTCAACAAACTGTCGGTGCAAGCGCTGTTAGCGTGCAACACACACTCACGCGCGCGCGCTTGCTCACTCGCTCGCTCGCACAGGGTGTGTGGATGATCTCACCGGGGGCTGCGCAAGGCTCGTCGAGAGCGCGTGCAGGAGAATCACGGCCACGTGCAGCAGTAGCCACGAGTGCCGCGAGTAAGAGCATCGCGTCCTAGACATGGTTCATCCGCGAGTGTCACGGCCACGGGGCTATAGAGCAGCAAGCAGCAGTCGTGGTGGGAGGGAAGGATGGAAGGTCCGCTTTGCCTCCTTGACGGCTTGTGCCGGACGGGGGGGTGGGGTAGACGCGCTTCTGCGTTGATGGTGGAGGTGGTGGCCCTGTCCGAGAGACTGATGGTCCGTCTGGGGTTGACACCCCGATTCGTGATGAGTCAGCGGTGTCTCCTCCTCCTTCTCACTTTGCAGCCCCGCGTCTAAGTCTGTCCCCACCGCCGTCCTCTGGATCTCGCCAGCAGCGGTGTTAAGGGACGGTAGCGGCGGTGAGATGGGGCAGAACTTTGCGCAATGTTTATGCATGAAGGTGGACCCCCGGGCACGGATGCGTGCGATTGGGTGCCTGTGACTCCTGGTGCGCTCCCACCACCACCTCCACCACCAAACCACCCAACCACGTACCTTCCACCACCACCACCGATTCACTTACCCCCCCCCCCATCTCCTTCCTCGCCCCCCCACCCGCCACCACCGCCACCGCTTTGCCAGGAGGGGGGGGGGGAGGAGGTAAAAAAATGCGTAAAAGTGCGATGTCTCATTCCACACGTCCCGGCGAAAACTGGGACCGAAGTCTTAAAGGGGACTCGCTTTCTTCGAGTTAAATGTAAAAGCGTTGTGCGGTGCTGCAGTTGACATTTGTCAAATCCACTGCTGGATGAGAGCCGCCGCCACCCGCGCAGTGCGCGTCGTGGTGGAGATCGAAGAGGGGGGGGGGTGGCATTTGACCCGACTTGGCGAAGGATGCGCATCATTGAAGTGGCAGCATAGAAGCACAGCACAACTTTTGATATTGCTGTACACGTATACGAGGGGATAACACTCGATGCTGCGCGTAGATTAATTAAATAATCAACTTCTGTTCTGCCATGCCCTGGCCATCATCTGCCATCTCATGATCTGTAATAATTAACAATGATAATGCAGAGTCCTTTGTCAATCCACTGCCTTGATGAGAGGCTCCCGACGATATCACCATACAGTGCTTAACTTCACGGAGGTCTCAGATGTCTACGGATCATTTCCCACTCTCAGTGTGCACCGCTCCAGGCTTTGACCCTGGGGTGACCACCGGGCTATCGTCTGCACGAAGCTCAGTCTCTGGAATTCCCATCGCAGTCGATAGAGACTTCTAAGTGTCGGCTGAAGACCCCACCGCCTGTTTAACAAGGCATCTCTCTCTCCAGTCATCTGTCTTGTTTCCTTAGTCTTTCTCTCCCCGAGTATGTCTCGCCTATTTTCCTCCTTGACACGCATTGTGCGCTCTGATATCAATTGTTGTAAGAGTTAATCTAAAAAAATGTTTTTATTATTATTATCACGCTGCCCAGTGCGTATTAGTGTAGGAGGGAGGTGCCACCGTATCAGATATCACGCGCCACCGATGTTTAGCCCTGGCCAGGAATCGAACTTGGAATTCCGGATTCATAGCGCATGCAGTGCGCGAACCACTGCCCAACTGTTCCAGGAGGGGGGAGGGGCGAAGGGCTCCCCCTCCTGTCTTGATAACTAGAATATTGGTATCTTATTGATATTTCCCTGAGAAAAAATAAATTAATTGTATTTTAATTAAGCCAGGGCCCTGCCATGGGTTTTCTCGCGATTTTTTTATTTTAATTTTGTGACTGCCCCCCCTCCCTCCCCCCGCTCTCTCCTTTGGAAAGTTTCTCGATCCGTCTCTGATTCCACGTGGATCTGTAAATGAGACTTGAAATCCACTCTGTGCAACGAGATACGCACGTGTGAATTTTATTTGCCGACATTTAGAATTGCTGCAACGTTATCATTACCGTGTATGTTCATGATGGGGTTTTCTTGAAAAATAGACTTGTGTTCTCGCTGGGTTCTCGCGCGGTTTGAAATAAAAAACAGAATCAATGAATGATTAAAGGGGCAGTTTCTCTGCCGTGGTCATTCGACGATTTCATCAAATGTGGTCGTAATACACCCACACAATTCACCTATTCACGTTTGTAATGCAACATGTGGTCGGTGGAGCAGTTGAGTGGTGGCTCACCCATTGCGCCGTGAAATCCTGCCACCCGAGTTCGATTCCTGGCCACGGCTAACATCAGTGGCGAGTGATGTCAGCACTGATCCTGCCCACCCCCACTACTTCTCCCCCGTCCCTTCACCGACCCGCGCAGACTAACGTGGTGAATTATCGTCAGCACCCCCCCCTCCCCATAACCAGCACGGCGTGGGGATTGAGGATGACTCATATCAAAAAGTATATATTTAAACAGTTCGTATCAAACAGAAAAAAATATTATTATACTGCGATGCGATGCATGCATCGTGAGCTTAAAATATTAATATGAACCGAATACCCAATACAGTACATTGTTACGCCCATAATAATACAAAAATCATTCATGCAGCAAAGTCTCAATGAGTCTCAAGACGATGTTTTAGGTCGGTCGTGCATTTGAATGTTTGGCTAATTCCGTTATTCAGCGGTTGTCTTTTTTGGGGAGGAAGAAACTGGAGTAACTGGAGAAAACCCATTGCGCATACGGAGGGGATAACACTCAAAGCTCCGCACAGATAGATGCAATACATTTGTTGAGACCGCAATCTCGTGGCCACCTCGAAGCTCCGGCAAGTTTATGGACTTAGGTGCAGTGTGCCGCTCGAGCTGATAGAGGATGAGGTTATGGGCCCCATAGAATGCGCCGTTTAAAACAATCTTCAAAAACAATTTAACTTTCTGTACTGCCATTTCCTGACCACTTCACAGCCCCAGTAGCGGGTTTAGAAGTTCCACACAAGTCTCTACGTGATCCGCCAATCTCCACCTCTAAAGGGCTTCATCCACAGGGGCCACATCCCGCCCTGCCCAGTTTTTGTGGGGGGAAAGGGGGCAGGGTGGATGGCTGCGGGGTAGAGCGTGGGGATGCTGGAGTATAACTTTAAGAAAGATGGTCCAATATGGACAGAATCTACATTAGTGTCTACGTGGTCCGCCAATCCCACCTCCAAAGCGCTTCATCCACAGGGGCCACATCCCGCCCTGCCCAGTTTTTGTGGGGGAAAGGGGGCAGGGTAAAGGGCTGAGGGGTAGAGCGTGGGGAGGCTGAGGTATAACTCTTAGAAAGATGGTCCAATATTAACAGAATCTTCGTAGAAAGGCGTGAAGGCGCTATGGACTTGCCGTTTTGAAAATCGGCAAAAATTGATGGAAGAAAAAAACTCAACACATTCGACAATGAAAAATATGTAAGGCGACGTTTCGGGCAATGGCCCTTCATAGCACACAAATAAAAATGCCAGACGGGTAGAGTGGAAATTAAGGGTTGGAGGCTGCACTTCACACCATGGGCCCAAATCGCATTATCCACTCAATCACTCGGGCCTCTCTATGTGCTATGAAGAAAGGACATTGCCCAACACGTTGACTATTACGTATTTTGTATTTTAATGCCAAAGTGTTATTAACGAATGTTGTAGCAGCAGCATCACCACATACTTTGTTGAAGATGGAGCAAAATATTTCTCAAAACGTGGAAACACGAAAGAGCTAAAAGAGCAACATTACTGCACTTGCAAATATGCCGACAAGTTTTGCCCTGATCAACTGCCCACTGATGGACTTCTATGTTGCTTATTCATTCCAAAGACTTCACTCAATGCTGGAAAATGTCACAATCAACGCATGCGTACGCCTGATTTTTTTGTTCCTAACTTGCTTTGTTTGATTCCGTTTGAGTTAAGGCACGGAGGGAGGAGTGCTCCTCCTTAGGAATGGAGACAACCCTGATGTTTACACACATCAATAACCCGCCTCTCCTCGCTCTCTCGCGTGCAGCAAGTCTGTTTGCTGGGCCGGCAGCTCGAGTGAGTGTGTGAAAGTCAACGTTTGAACGGTGAGAAGTTTTTGGAATGCCTGAGCTAAACGAGGTAAAAAAAATAGACTGGGTAGGGGTGGAGACACACAAAACCTATATTGGGTTTATCATCATCATCATCAGCAGCAGCAGTATATACCATGGTCAATCCACTGCTAGAAGAAGACCTCAAGCTACTGCCATCCCTCACGGTCCTGCGACTGGACATCCGTGAAAAAGAGTGCCATAGCTCAACTGATTCTTCCGGTATAAATACATTTGCTGATTCTGAAATAATCTACCGAACAGCTACACACAAACTGATTTTATGGCTCCATCTCCCCCCGGTGGACGTCCTCTTGAATGCGTCCCATTGCTTGGCTGACGCTCTGCCAATCTTCTTGACCCTCGGCCGCGATTCCTCCTCGCCGTCACGTGTCCTGCCCACGGCCATTCGCCCTTTCTGAATAGAGAATGCTTTTATTTTTTAATTTGTAAAAAAAAAATACTTTTATTTCTTCATGTGGAGTAGACAGACGTGTGTTGTCTGCTTATTATGTTTCGTTACGTCTCCGAAAAGTTGTAACTATGTCTTTAACCTGCAGAGTAAGTTCTCTAAGCTATGCGCTCCTCTTTCTGTCTCTCAGTGTATATCCAAGCGTGCATCTCCCTCTGCTTCTTAGCCCACGATTCAGATTATTCGTTATTTTTTAAAATTCTAGTTGACGACTGTGATCCTGAACCATGTGCCATAGCAGGTGATACAAAACGGATTAAATGCAGCTTGGGCTGTTGCTTTTCATTCACAAGATCAGATTTCCCAAAGCACTCACTTGTATCATATTTTCTGATACGTAATTAAATGCCATAATAATAATAATATGAATTATGATGGGGGTTTTTAAAAAAAAATATTCTTTAGGATTGAAAAGTTGTAGCCATTTTTAATTAATCGTGTCAGTCTTCTGTATTTATTACACCCATCTCTTTGGTGTCGCTATTTATTATTACGTCTGTCAATTTAACGTTGATTTGTTACCGAACCTACCCAGCTAGTTTCGGTAACAACGGCCCGTAGAAGCCACTCACAGCAGAGTTATCGTTGGGGGTTGGCGAGGAGTCCAGCCAGCAGCCAGCCAGGAAACCAGAGGCATAAATTATGTTTAATAGGAGCATGATAGCAGGATGATGTCTCACCATAGCGCTTGCATGTCACTTCAGTTATATCTCACGCAAATGCGCGGGCAGTGCTAATTTATTAATATTTTCCACAACGGCGCTAATTATTATTAAACTGAGTTGTCTATTACGGGCGTCCTTTTGCAACTGACTGGGACTCCGTGTCGCAAAGAGAGAGGGTCCTTGTCTGTGAGATCTGGCACTTCACCAGCATTGCTTCAAGCAAGCCTGACTCTGCTGATGAGACACTCTGCGTCGTAACCGGCCCAGAGTTGTGCGCGTCTTGAATCAATCCTGCTGAATTGATGCTCTCCCACAAGGTCATGAGGCCCG